GAATGGTTCAAAGCCCAGGACAAAAGAGAAACTTTTTGTAGGGGAAGTGACCATCAACCCAAAATTCTCCTCACTACAATCACTTCATATAACAAACCTCCACCCTTCGCTGCTCCGATGCTATTCAGCAGCCAGCTGCAGCAGCAGAGGAGGAGTGTGGTTGTTTTAGGCACATCCCAGATGTCTTTGTGTGTAAAAGCGCAGCCCTCCTTCCCTGAGCTGCTACTCCCTAATCCCACTGCTGCAAGTAGGAATATTTTCTTAGTCCTCCTGCCTCATTAAACAAGGCCTAAATCAAAACAGACGAATCAATCCTCTGAATATTTTAACCTCCTACTTGTACATCTCATTACCTCTCCCTTCATGAATGTGCAGACTGTCATTCCAGACATACTAGAGAGAGGTTAAATATAGCATGTTCAGTTGTTTTCACTTGGGTTGGGCTGCACTTGCTCCTTACTGTACGAGAAAACGTTCCCCGAGATCAGAGTACCAGTTTCAATAAGACATTGTCAACAGAAGATAAACTTCACAGTAGCTTGAATATAGATAGTTTAAAGTGTATGTAAAGTTAAAGAACAGAGGACGTTATTGCAATGTCATAATCTCAAAAGATCAGTTTCACCTAGTTTTTTAATGATTGTTTTTGTATATCCATAATCCTAGTAAATTTTTCTCTCATGGAAGTATCCTAAAAAACGTAGAGAGAACAGCTTTTGAAGACTTCTTGAGGTTGATTAATGTCCACGTTCACTTGCCTTTCCACAAAACACAAAACTGATTGTGAGATTTTTTCAAGTTGTTTTCCTCTGTGTCTTTGTCTCTCCTCTGACTCGATGTCAGTAGGTGTTTTTTTTTTCCTCTAAGTGACATCACCATAACATATTTACTAAGGAGGTAAGGAGGTCAGCATCTCCCGCACCTCTGAAGCAGTAAAACATGTTAATAGGTGTGATCTGGAGGATTAATCAAGTTGTAGTTGGCTCCTTCCCTCCCGAGGGAAATTACTCAGTGAATTATGCAGAAAAGCTGTAAACATTCTTCAGCTTCTCTCATGCTACGACTCAGTCTGTAAAGTGCTTCTGATTTTGCTGTTGTAGAGAATAAAATCACTCTGGAGGATAGTAAAAGCTTGCAAGCCCTCCTCCTTGGTTAATTAGTTCAGAGTTGATAACTAAAAGTTCAATGACTTTCCACTGGTGTGTTTTGTGGTGTTACTTTGTGGCCCTTGACATTTCCAGTTTTTCCCTTTGCAATCTTTTTACATTATCTGTGCTGTAAGCGTTTTGTACATATTGTTCAGAACTAACTACAAAAGGACTGTGTCCTAATTTTATGGACCTTATTCAAATCGCCATCATAAAAACTATGTTACAGGATTTATTATTGTACATCTCAACTTCAAAACAAATACTTGACCTTCGAGACTGCAGTTGAAAAGAAAGTCCAAGGTCCATTCAGTAGCTGTGAGTGTGACAGAAAGAGTAGTAGTAGAAGCAGCTATACTTGAACTGTTTTTTGTTGTTATTATAGCAGTGACACTAAAGATGTATTCATTATTGCATCTTGTGTTATCATGATTCAAGTCAAGTCAAACATTATTTATAGAGCGCTTCAAAATATATAAATAGACTAATAAATGGCAATAAAAGCATAACAAATTGAAGCTTGACCTCAGCATAAAATAAAACAAATATGAGAGGTTCTATCTCTGACCTCTATCCACACAAGAAAGTTATATCCACAAAGAACATCTGTTAAACTTCATAGGGTATAAAGATACCTTAAACCGTTACCTACTTTACCTTAGAAAATAAACAATATTTCAAGTTAGAATAACTTATTTGAGTACCTTTAGCTTATCTTACACAACAGCTGAAATTAGCATCCAAACACTTCCTAGCTAACATTATGTTAACCAGGAACAAGATTCGAGTTCTCCAGCACATTGAAAACTTTCCTGAAGAGTATTTGGATTCACCAAAGGCAATAAGGGTATTTTCACACCTCTGTCATTTGGGGAAGTTGTTCCAAAAAAAAAAAGATGGCGTTTGCCCCTTTGTTTATATGAACACAACAATCACACTCTGATGCAGAACAAAATAAGCAAGCTGAGATCGCCTTGAAGAGGTGGTCTCGGTTTGCTTCCAATCGAACACTGGAGCTGTTTGTTTCCAGTGAGAACGCAGTCAACCCAGCAACAGGAAAAAGATAACCGGTTGACTCATCACACTCTAGTAGCAGCAGCAGTTGTAATAGTAATATGGAGTAGTAGGCAATCTTGATTACAACAAATAATCAGCATAAAAATGCCAATAGGTTAATGTTACTCATCATCTCTATCCAATTCAACATCAGCAGAGCATCACAGGACTGAACACGACTGCACAAGGTCCAAAAAGTTTGTTGCAACTTGTTGAACCAGGGGGATTTGTACTTCTCATCACTATAACCTCCACTTTCGAGGAGCTGGTCTCATAGCTTTACATACTTCTTTCCGATTATTTCTGCCGATACTGCTCACAGGTGTTATGGTTTAAAGACTGAGCATGTTAACTGGCGACCATCAGCTGCATACAAACAGCAAGAGTACTCAGGAACGCCTTTCTCTATGAATCAAAGTTAACAAGTTTGTTAACTTCTGTATTTTTGTGGTTGTTGTCAGACATTTACAAATATGCTCATATGCCTGAATGTCAGTAAGATATTTGACCTCCCCACTGCTCCAAGTCAACCTGCAACCAGCATTGGAGGTGTCCCACAATGCAAAGTGCGACTAGTACGCATGAAATTTGTTAACCTACAAAGTAGGGATAGTAGGCTGTGAAGTAATGGCGTATGGACATCGCTGTGTTGGGGTGTGCTTCGGCCTGCTTTACAATATTGCAGTGTGAACACAAAATGACTCAAGGAGAAAGTGCAACAATGTATCATTTAATCATCTGAATCAGCACAAAGAAAAAGAGCTATAGGTGAAAAACACCTTAACAGTCATCCTTAGTATACCATATACACCTGCACCTAAAGTCAAGGCAATCCTTACTATAATCATTTTTTAAAAGCCAAACAGACCAAACTCTTAGTTACACATGAGAAAAAGACTATTCATTTCATTCTGTAATCACAATGTCACGATTTTTTTTGTGAAAATATTTCAGTCTAAAATTCAAACCCACATCTAAAGAGCACCATTATAGATAATTTGTCCTCAAAATATATCTTAATCTATACAATTCTGTTGCTGTTGAAGTATGAATGAGGTCTTTTTTTCTTAGGGTTTCGTTAGGGTTGCCACTCTGCTCTTTCCTCTCCCCTTTCTTTCTCACATAAGAGGCAGGAAGTCAGGGGTTAACTCGTGTGTTGACTTATGTTCTGGATGGTCTTTGTGGCTTTAAGTGGATTTCGGTCCAGGAGAAAGAGACTCACTCCTCACAGCACATTGTGACCGTCGTCCACAGTAGCCAGACAACACTGACTCATAGCACATGATGAATGACCTCAGTACTGCAGAGACTCACTGAGATAAAACAAAACAACAGGAATGTATGAAGAAACCAGTCTGTTAGAATGTGGGTGGAAAAAGCTGGGTCAAAGCACCTTTTTCACTTGGACAAATAAAGCACTTCTGAGAAACTGACCTTGCACTGTTATAAAGCAAACATAGCTCACCGTGCTGCTGTGATCAAAAAATGTGCACACGCTTGCTTTTTGTAGCTGTAAAAATAACCACGCTCTCCTTAGCTGTCATTTAATCTGATTATCACAACAGTCTGATTCAACTACAGAGTGCTCTAAAAAGCCACAATATTTTCAAGTAGCTCAGCCACTGTGTCACCTTGATATCAGAGATCCACTGAGTTCACTTCATCTTGTTCACTCATCTCATGGTGGCCATTTTTGTCAGAAGACACATACAGGGAGTTAAACTCAAATGCTATAATGTCATTCTACTGAGTTCCAGTTTGGAAGTCGTATTATTTTATTTTGTTTATGTTAATTGTTATCATTTGATCGCTTCTTGGTTAATGGGTAACTTAAGCACTTCCTAGCTAACATTGTTTTAGCTGGGAATAAAATTCAAACAATTCAACAAAATGTTAGTTAGACCCCTTTCTTACACTAATGTGAAACATTCATAGACTGTATAAAACATCGACATAGCCTTAGTGACGTCACCATTGGTGTCTGAAGGGAAGATTTGTAGCTTGACGATGGCGGTCGCCATATTCGTAAATGGTGACTTTATCTTACTTATGATCAATCTAGAAACGGGCAAAGAGGTGTGCGGAGGTGGCAATAAAATCCTAAATCGCCTGTAAGTCAAGCTCCTAATAATGAAAATGTATGCAGAACTCTTATAAACAAAATGGATAATTTACAGAAAATTCACCACGAATAGAATGTGAACTAAAAAAAACTTTTTTTTGTGGCAGGCTGTTAACATGTTGTTATGCTGTTAATTTCTGCCACAAAATTGGCCTTTTAAAATAGATGTTAATGAGACTCCCGGGGCTTTTAGAGCCAGCTTCCTGTAGAAACTGCATTTCTTCGCACTTTAACATTGTCTTCATTTTTCAACACAGGAGGTTGCCCCTTGGTAACAATGTTAAACAGTTGTTTGCTTAATGCCACTCATCATCTCAATGCTAAAGTCAGTCAGACTGAATGCTAATGTAAGCCATTGTATGGCCGTAGCTTATTGAGTTATCAAACATGTTTTTTAAACAAGAAATATGCCCAAATTACCCTCCTGATATTGCACTGCTCATTGTTTTTTTTTCAGTTGCTAGTGAATCAAGAAGCAATGAAATGATCATGATTTCTTAAATAACCTGAATTAATTAAAATATCAGAAGTTTAAAATTACAACAGAATTTTAGCTTTCCACCCTGATCATGAAATCAGAGGAAAATAGCTGCTGTGTGAGCATGGTCACTTGTGTTTTTTAAACTAACTAACAAATTAGTGAACTAACAATCATCTATTGTGTTTTGTTACAGGGGAGCAGGGGGCACTACCGGTATCACTGGCAGAGCCACAATGTCAAACACAGCGGAGTGGATGACATGGTGCTGCTCAGCAAGATCAGCGAGGACGCCATCGTGGACAACCTCAAGAAGAGATACATGGATGACTACATCTTTGTATCCTTTGTTCACAACTGCAGTTCACAACCCGGCAAGAAATATCAGAGCCCCGTCTCATGCCTGTCGTTTCCCAGAATAGCTGAATGGTCATTCATCGCGTCACTGTAGCAGTGAGTAATAGCTCAGAGTCGGGAGGTAACGCCTTCACACTGAGACTCTGCCGTGTGCAGGAGCAAAGGGCCTCTCTGTGCGCAACTCCACCCAGCTCCCTAACTGATTATTCCATAAATAGATGTATTGTAGTTTAATCTCTATGTGTTGAAAAAAATGGTGTCAGTAAATTCAATCTTAGTCATCCTAATTTTTATTGTTTTTATTTTGCATGAACAATAGAAAAAACATTTGCACAGAAATCTACCATTGAAACAGCACATCTTTAAAACACCAGATCAAGGTTCTCTTAAGTGCAGCTGTGGCCTTCTACACACATATAAGCCATTCATGACGTAAAATGAGTCGATGATTGAATGAATAACCCCTTTGAAAAGCAACCTAGAGCATTCACAAAGCGGCTTATTACATAAACTTTATCCAAACTCTTGCAGTGCCCAGGATTATGAAGTTGAGTCAATGCAGGCAGTTTTGGTTTTGAAACCTCTGCGTCAGGCCTCTGATTTAGGTCAGTAAATAGCCGTAACTGTGAGGACTCTTTGCCAAGGCTGTGGGTCACTGTAGGCCACCCACAATAGCAGCTTTATTTGCCTTGAACAGCATTTTGGCTTCAGGGCATAAAACCTCACAGTGTTACATGGCCGGTCTATTCTCAGTCATTTGTAAGCTCTGGATGCTTATTTAGTCTCAGGACGAATCACCAAATACTCCACTGCTGCACTGTTGCCCCCCTGACGTCATGGTAGCCTTTGATTAAGTCATTTTCAGTATGTCCTATACAGGTTCATAAACTCTATGAAACAGTGATACAAATGTTTGAGCTTTTACTAAGTTCTTGCATGTTAAACATGATGTGATTAAAATTTTCTGCACTTTGTTTTTTGTTGATCTTTTTCTCGACCTTGTAAGATCTTTAACTTGAACCTCTTCAGACATATATTGGGCCTGTGCTCATCTCCGTCAACCCTTTCAAACAGATGCCATACTTTGGGGAAAAAGAAGTCGAGATGTATCAGGGCGCGGTAAGTTTGAAGTTTTATGACCTGTGAAAACATTTGCAATAGTTTTTGGAAGTCTGAACGCTTCAACCATAAATCTCATCTCATAATTAAACGTATGGATGTGCCTAGAGGTTTTAGGAAGCGAAAAGACAGTCGGACAGAAGTTCTGAAATGAGTTGGGTTTGTTGCAGTGCAAACCTTTCAGCGGGCTGGCACAGATGTTGGAACAGCCTGTTCTGCCTCCCCTCTTAACTTAAAAGGTCCAAAGAGTTAAGTTTTGGAAAAGGGCAATGGGTTCAGTTTTACTGGGTGCTATCAGCTGAACCTGAAGGGGATCGTTCAGATTGGTTCAGATCAGTCATGAAAGTGCAGACTTGGTCCCTCAGTTCGTTGACACAGAATAGTCAGAAGTTGCTTGTCAACCAGGTGTAGATCATGGACGTTGTGTGGTTAACATATTTATTTAATTGTTAGCAAGTTAAATAAAATACTATCTTCCCTTTATTCCATTCCCTATTTCTCTTTAAAATGTCTCTATTTTTCCTGAAACAGTGTGGCAATGTAGTTTATAACGTAAATAAGCAAAGAGTTCTTTGGTGACTGTTTTCAGGAGAAGTTATCCCTGCATTGATGCAGATTCACAGCAGCTACATATTGGATTAAGTCCATATAAACTGCATATATTATTTCATAATTATGTAGGAACTTTTCACTCAGTGCAGCTGAGCATCTTACTAATGTGTTTAAAATTGGGACAGCAGTTGTACTCGTCACAGGGTAATACCTTTTATTATACTTTGGCCATACAGACGCTACCTGGTCAAAAATAGAATCAATAAATTGTTGCTTTTTTTGTCATGAGATTTGTTGACCATTAGAATAATACATTATATCACCAGAAATATGTCCGAAATGTAACAATGACCTGAAATGTTATAAAGAATATGTAGTGAAACCGGAAATGTAATCACTGGTCAATAATACTTCAAGATGCTGAGCCAAAACATAACAACGTTTTGCCCAAAATCTAACAATTCATTACATTATGGAGCAGGCCAAATATAAACATTTCGGGTCGTTGTTACATTTTGGGCTCTTACAAGGCAGAAGGTTTTATGAAAACTTTTCTACGATTGATTTTAACTCAAATATTTTGTCTTTCTCAGGCTCAGTATGAGAACCCTCCTCACATCTATGCTTTGGCAGACAACATGTACAGAAACATGATGATTGACGTTGAGAACCAGTGTGTCATCATCAGGTAGGATTTATGTAACTCTAAACACACGATCCTCCGCCTTCATCACGCATCATGACACTGATGGCATGTGACAACCAAACATCTTAACAGCACACAAAAGAGACAATTTCATGAAATGCTGCTAGTTACAAATATTGAGTGAAGTAGTCACCGATAATTGTTGACAGACAGACAGAAGGGGTGAAGACCCCTTCTGTCTGTAGGTCAAAATTTGAAATGTTGAGGATGGGAGAGACAAAGAGATAAAAAGCTGGTGATAGAAATCTGTACATTGTGATCTGTGAGGTGTTCAAACAAAAAGGAGCGGGTTGGGAGGAGAACATCAGAGCAGAACAGGTTCCACCACATGATTGTGAACAGCTGACTTAGTGATTGTGATGTAACTATTGGGTGTTTTTTAAAAATCATTTTCACCTTCAATGAAATAAGGTTTAACAGGGAAAAATTCCCTGCTCCCATAATATGAGAAGGCAGAGTTAACAGCTGGATCTGACCTCAGTTCAGGATGTGAGATGGAAACAAAGCAGTCATTATAGCAGCTATTTTTGAAGAACTTCCTGGTTTAAAAAGAAGAAAAAAAAAACAGGAAGAACACCTGCTTGATCCGTGGCCCAGAATCCCTCTCTTTATTGCTGGATTTACTGTTTAATTTTTGGTGCTTTTACAGCATTTATTTTGTCGGTGGTCATTTTTGTGCTACAAAGCTGCAGAGAGAAAAGTGTGGTGTCATGATTGGGGCTTTATCCTGCAGCACAGTCACCTGAGCAGCATAGTGGTCACTATAGTGCTTACCTCATGATGAATGAAACCTGCTTCAGCACTTTCGCCCGTTGTTTGGACAGCCAGCAGTTGCTAGTTCAGTTTCCCACATAAAGGCACCGAGGTGGATTTTGTGATTGACTAATTCAGCAAACAAAAGCATGGAAGTGGTTTTATGATGAACCAGGTCTGAGCAGACAAAGGCTGCTGTGAAATGCTGTCCAGGCAGCTCGGTCAGTATCAGCCTGTGTCAGCCCTTTTTAACGTTTACTGAGGAAATTTGTCAGGTAAATTTGAGATTAAGTGGTATAGCAGTTTTGACTTCTCTTCTGGGGAAATTCTGTTTTTCCCCTTCATGTTTACTTCATCTTCCCTCTGCTTATTTAAGCATGTTGCTGATGTAGCTTTATCCAACACATCTGGATCAGATATTAAAGGGATAGAGCAGGTTATGGAAGCAGGTTATCAGGGAAAAAAATCCCCTTCAAACAATTTGATGAGCTGGACATCTTCAAAAGATCCAACCAAATCTTTTGTCCTACGAGACGTAACTGCTCCACATCTGTTCCGAGCACAGATAGCACACAATCCCTTTGTGCCTCAAAGAAGGTTTAAATTGAACTATTTCTCTCTACATATGAACTTAAACCTAACACTTGGAAAAAGCTATTTTGTCCTGTTGATGCCAGCTAATTATGAAGATTATTTTTTTTAGAGGAGTGTCTTCTCTTGCGTCTTGATTGATTCATTTGATCCCATCCAGATTGACGCAGTGGCCACTTTTAGTTTAGTGTCCATTCACTCTTTTTTTGTTGATGTCTTCCTTGCTGTTTTATTAATTCAAAACAAGAGTTTAATGCTCCTATCACCCCTTGAGGAGGTAATTTCAGACTTTATAAATAAAATTGCCTTAACCTAAGCCTTACCCAGCTGTTGCAAATGAAGTCACCCACCATCCCAGTCTTTACTCCTCCAAGGAACTCAGTCCAGAACAAATGGTTATTTTAAATGGACAATTATTGTGTGCAGTTTAAAAAGGACTACTCAGGCAAGAGGTAATAAGTTGCCAACAGTAAACAAAGCAGCAGGTCAGAATATTGCAACGTGAGCAAACGCAGACCCTAAGTGTGTGTGAGACGCTGATAAAAGAAGAGGGTAGTATGTGAATTAACCCGTGTGCTTTCAAACCTGTGTCACCACACTTTATGTCCCACATATTGTAATTCTATTATCACGTTTCAAAGCAGACAGAGCAAACGTTATCATAGTCGTTCATAAAATCTCCCTTGTGTTATATATTGAATAACACAACCACAATCACAGATTCAGAAGCAGTCACTAAATGGCAAACATTTGTTTTATTAGTTGTTTCTCAATTCAAGTTATGTCCAACAATTAAAAACTGAAAAAAAATGTCAAAGTCCTTCTCTACCCTCCTCCTAATCCGTTAAATAAATCATTTAAACAAATGGCAACTGACTCACGTTGACTCAAAGCAGAAAGAGGTCAATGTTTTTAGAACATTTGGAACACATGTCACAGCAAAAATTCCTCTGAGTCTATTTGAACATACTGTTCATGTGTTTCAACTATCTCCAAGGAACTGTAGTCTGCTTTGTAGATTTTAAACCACCAAGGCATGTAGTCCAGTCAGTGCTGACTGTGCATCCTTCTCGTATCTGATGTCAGTAATGATTTACTCTACTTCACTCATTGTTTAACTCATGCCCTTGTTTGGATAATAAATCTCTGCAGAAGTGAACAATGACTACAGCATTTCAGCGCCACAACAATGAGATCCGCCCGTTCTTGGGCTCAGAAAATAGCTCCTTAGAAAAAAAACTTTCACAAGGAAAAACAATGCTTCCAGACAGGCCTGTGGAGGTTTTTTCTTACATAAAAATTAAAAGCATATCAGTTTCCTGTTGTTACTTGAGTAGTAAGTTTGCCCAGACAATGCAAAGGGGATTGCAAAGGGAAAGAGGTACATAGGGGGGAGGGTTACAACCATATAGAGGCTGCTGTGTAGTAAAGTGGCTCCCATGACTTCCTCTGGCAGCCTCTAACAGTCTGCAGCTGTGGTTCTCACAGAGGCATTACCAACCTGACTCTTCTTTAAGGCACCGAAAGAAAAGACAGACCCTACTGTTATCCACTGCCAAACCACATTCGTCAAAATAAGTATGATACTGGCAAAGGAAGAGGAAAAGAGAAAAATAGACGGAGAAGAGATGAGGAGTAAAAACTGTGAATGTGACAAAACGGAATTAATGTCGTTGTTGCTGTAGCGTTTTTATGCCCAGATGTGCCTCTGGCTAATACACATTCAGCCTCTGAGTGGAAATGTGCATCTTGGGTTTTGCAGTACAGTTTGTAAAGTAGGATCAGGGGTCTCTCTTGTTTATTTAGCAGCTTCAATATAACTGATGGGTGAAAGGTCAACTTTTTTATGCAGGAAACATGCTCAGACATGCATGCTCACCAACAAATTGTATGAATATATAAACCTACAAATTTGGTAATCGAAGTTACTGTTAATAATTTCAAGTTCTTAAAACATTCGACACACGATCAATAGTTGACAGTTAATTTACATCAACCATGATACTGAAAACATAATAGAGATTAACATGCACTTTCTTGATAGGCTCGACCTGGAAATCAGAGAAACCTCAGATTGTCTCATAGCAACATTACCTACATAATGCAGTCTCGGAAAGCTGCACCAAAAATAGTTAAAATAAAGATATCACATGTAATGCATGCAGTTGTTTGATTTTTAACAAAGAAGCTCAGATGTCATGTATGTCACAACTTGTGCTTTAATATTCATCTGTGTTGTTTTTCAGTGGAGAGAGCGGAGCAGGAAAGACTGTCGCAGCCAAATATATCATGGGCTACATCTCAAGAGTGTCAGGGGGCGGACCCAAAGTACAGGTGAGAGGATTCTCTGTTGACATTATGTAATAGCTGCGTATGTCATTACAGATTTGTGCGCTCCACAGATAACCCACAGCCAAAATGAAACTACTTAAAAAGTGTTTTCTCTTTAAAATTTTCCATAAGTGAACTTGTCTATATGTGTTTGGACATGGTAAAAAAAAAAAAAGAGGGGGAAAGGAAAAGCACATTTTTATCATTACAATTTGATGTAATTGTACCTATTATAGAATCATCCTCATAATGTGCAAACAATGTTCTGTCAACTCTTGCATGAAAATCAAGCAACCTAATAGCCCCTTTATTCCTGCTTATACCTCTCCTTTAACCCGATCCTTCTCTTATCATCCTCATCCTTAGACCCCATCAGCAGCCTCTTAGTCCCCCTGCCCCCTTCAGCCATCTGGCAGTCCCCCAAACCAGCAGATGTCCAGTTCCTAAGCTCAATAAAGATCTAAAGTGTAATGAGGAAAATGCTTGCACCATGATGGCTATGGTCCACTCAGAGCTTCTTCCAGCAAGCCAAAGTTAGAAATCACCTCCAGTAGAGCTGGAAGTGTGACTGGTTAGTCTAAATACAACATGTTTTACTATTACTATACACGTTCTCCTTGGTTTTTAGTTGTTGGTTACATTATTTTTATCTTTTTATTTTTGAGTGGATAGAGCTGGAAATCAGGGAGAGGGTGTGGGGAATGACATGGGGGAAGGGAGCCACAGGTGGGATTCGATCCTGGGCCGCCCGCTTGGAGGACTATAGCCTCTGTACATGGGTGCGCGCACTAACCACTGCGCTACCAGTAACAGTATTAATGTACACATCTAAAGCTAGTTATGTATTTAAGTATCTAGATCATGTTCTAAACAAATGAGGCCACTACAGTCAATACCATAGACTGTAAAAATAATACACAGACACACTCTTTTGAACTTTGTCTCCACATCTTTGATCTCCTGTTCAGCATCACTTCATGCTCGCTCGCTGCCCTTTAGGGTTGCACACATTGTGCGGTATTCAGAGTACAGCACATGCAACTTTTTGCACGCTGTGCAACATGTGACTGAGAATATTTTTGAATAGATAATATCTCCCTGCAATTAAATATTTGTGTAACTGGCTGAGAACATTTATCATAACACACATATCATACTGAAAATATTAAAGGTTATTAGTGGATTTATTATTTAAACATGTTTGAATGGTGTTTATAAAGAGTTTCCACTCATGATATTTGTTGGATTCAGTGTTTTTTAAAGCCCAGTAAAATAACTGAAGTCCTTGTTTAAATAAAACGCATAGGTCTGTGAAGATCATGATGTAGTAAACTTGAAACTGTATTCTTATAAATAGCTGAATGTGAAGTGCTGGGTTTATTTTTTCCTTTCTTACTGGACTAAATTTAGGAGCACAAAAGTTCCGGGAAACAACTTCCTCTCAACTTCTTTGTACAATAATAGAAATAGGAGTAGCTCTGTCTGCTGTACCGATTTAAACCTCATGTGTTACTGACATGCAGATGGCTCACAGGAAAGATAATGTCCTCCAGACGCTGTTTGCCTGTCTGTGGATTTGGATTTGTGCATTTGTGCATTTGTGTGTGCTGGTGTGGAAAGTTACAGAGACATAGCAGCAGACTGTCAGTGAGGGTCTGAGGTAGGTGTGAGATGTGTGCTGGCTGTACCTGCTGTACAGTTTGTCTGTGACGTAGCTAACAACTCATTGCCTTCTGCCTTTCCCCTTGCAGCACGTCAAAGACATTATCCTGCAGTCCAACCCTCTGCTGGAGGCCTTCGGCAATGCCAAGACTGTGAGGAACAACAACTCCAGCAGATTTGTAAGGCTTGAATTTATGAGTTGGGTTTGTTATTTTTGGGTATCTGGAAGCCTCCTTCAGATCCGCTCAATTCATTACTGGCTCTTCTTTATCAGAGAAAACACATGAAAGTCCATTTCAAATACTGTAAACCTTCAGGATAAAAGTTTTTAAAAGGAAGGAGTGTTTGTATTTAAAAAAAAAAGAAGTCAAACCTCCCACCAAGTATACTTTTTATCAGCAACATTGGACAACTCTGAGACATAAATACATACAGTAGGACGTACTAACCCCAGAAAAAATGGAGGACTCAAGTTTTCTGAGGGGCCCCTTTGGATCTGAGCTGAGACTTTGAAAACAAAGATTTGCTGCAAAAGGTTTTCCTCTGTTTTCAGTTCAAATGCACGAGGAATAAAACCTCCTGGTTAACCAAAACTGTACAATCAGGACCCACTGCAGACCCACTGCAGAAAAAGACACACATTCAGCACCACTGAGACACATCATCTACTGCTATCAAAGAAAACAAGTAACTCTAAATTAAAAGAAACCACATTCTGAAAAAGATTTTCCCTATGTAATTTTTTCAGCTGAGCTCAAGATTTTAGTTAAGCATACGAAGCACAATTGTCTAAGAAAACTGGATATTTTTAGATCCAGTTTGGGGAAATGGATTTGTTTATAGCAGCAGCCTGAGATCACTACCTTTTAAAGTTACATATTCATTTAAATAATGTCTCAGCTCACTTTTGTGACTTGAACAGATTTACATTACAGTCTTTCTTGGAGAAAAGAGGAAGACAAAAAGCAGGATAAGATTTTTTAATGTACACACCATCAGCATGCCTGGAACAGCCAGGTGCCAATATTTCAGGTTTTATAGCTCCCGCTGTAAGCTTTATCCCAGCCTGCTCCAATACTGAAAAAACAACATGCTTTGATCCATCAGGGAAAATACTTTGAGATCCAGTTCAGCTCCGGGGGCGAACCAGACGGAGGGAAAATCTCCAACTTCCTCCTGGAGAAGTCTCGTGTCGTCATGAGGAATCCTGGAGAGAGGAGTTTCCATATATTCTACCAGGTGAGACTTGTTTTTTTAAGCTTAAGAGTGAGTGGGACACATTTGGCTTTGGGGAGAAGAGGATTTTTTGAGGGGATTTCAGGACACATTGCATGAGGCGTGCCATTTGGCTGCAGGCACACGGTCAATCTGTTTTCATGATGGATGGCTCGAGGTCCCGAGAAGAGAAGACGAAAGAGTTCAGTCTTACTACAGTACAGTTTTCTTCTCATGCAAAGGACTCAAATCATATGAATGTAAACATGATAAACATATTTCACTTTTGATGTCTGCTCCACAGTTGATAGAAGGAGCCAGCGCAGAGCAGAAGAACAGTTTGGGAATCACTAGCCTGGATTACTACACTTACCTCAATCAGTCTGGTTCCTACAAAGTGGACGACATCAACGACAAGAGCGACTTCCAGGAGACAATGGTACGGTCTGATTCCCTCTTTTGGAGGAACCATTGTTTATTAATAAGATGTATAATGAATGATATCAAACTATTGAAATAAGTTAAGTCATTAAGTGAACAACCTCAGTAGGGTTTTCAGTATGTGTCTACAAAGCTCATGCCAGTGTTCATGTTGCTCACAGGCTTCCCTTCACATTCCATCATCTCTTTACCAGTCACCTCTTTGTTTTCTCTTTCAAAAACCTCCTCCTGTTTAAGTTTACAAGTGAGACCACAACAGGAATAATTAGAAAATGTGAGCTAGGTTGCCACAGGAGTGTGTAAACCCACACTCCCACCCTGACTTAACATCTACTTTTCCTTTACTTCCCCAGCATGCGATGGATGTGATTGGCATCTCAGCAGAGGATCGCTCCATGGTGCTTCAGATTGTGGCTGGAGTCCTGCACCTGGGAAATATTACTTTCAAGGAAGCAGGCAACTACGCTGCTGTGGAGAGTGAAGAGTGTAAGTAAAGTCACACCGGGAGAGCTTAACATTGCCTGGCTTTATACTCAGTTGACCATAGAAAAGTCATCTTTTTGGGAGCATGACTTAAAACGTTGGAATCTGGACTAAAGTGATTGTTAATTATCAACAGGGACATATTGCTAATGTGGCTACCAACACAGATAACAGTTCTATAGTTATTACCGAAGCTATGGATCGTGCTGCTGATGTTCAGGTTGAGAGTGGGTTATGGTAAATGTTTGCTTTTTATTGCACATTTGTCTTCTGAATGTCTCTCCTCTCTTCAGTGTCCTGAACTGCCCTTTTCTTTTCTTTTTTTTCTTTTTTCTCTCTCGCCACTGTCACTCCCTAAAGTTTTATTGTGTTAATGCAGGGCTGAAGCCAGTTGTCTGGAATAATCCAGGCCCTGTTAGATTATCAGGGAAAAAAGTGCAACTGAAGGTCTGCACATATTTCGTCAGACTCTAATACCTCTTCTGGAAAAATACTTCCCCTGTTCCCGCATCTCTCTCTTGCTTTTCCCTGCCTTGCTTTATTATTCTTTTGTTTTTTCTTTCCTTTCTTCTCCCCCCGTCATGCTGTGCCTGTATAATACAGACGAGATTGTGTTTACTAGTGTACAAAGCCTTGGTCTGTTCTTTGCAGACTCAACAGTGGTACTCCATAATCTCTTTTCTCACTCATTGTGTGTTTTAACCTAAGTGTGTTGCACATATTCATCCCCTCATATGCTCCCCATATGAAACTTCAGCAGCCAAGTTCACGTAGACATTAACTCACACTCTACTCTTAGTTGGCTTTTTTTTTTGCAATTCTTTGGTCTAGAGTAGCTTGATCCTTACAGTAGCATACTGCTTTGTTAAAAGCATTTTCCTGTTTTTGGATATTATGCCTTTCAATAGGAACATATTTTAGGGGTTGGAATTATGCATCTTTGGTATGAACGCCTTCCTCATTCAACATTCAGCCTTTGGTGGGTTTGGATCAATAGATCACTAGATTTTCAGAAACAATTTGGTGGTCTTCAACAATACTTGCTCTGTAATGTGAGTGTGTAATGGATCACATCTAGCTGTGACAGAGGGTCCTTTCAATTCATTCAAAAACATTGTCTATCCTGACTGATCTTTAGGCTGCTACTGTTTCTAATACTTTTTTACTATTTAGATTGGCTGTAGATTAATCTGTAGTTCAGTATGTTACTAATGTAAAAAATATATATCTTCTTATCTAAAGTTTGGCTAAAAAAACAAATCGTTTTCAAGACATTACAAACTGCTGGTGAACAGACTTATTATTATTATCATTGGATGACAGCATCATTGTATCACATCTAATAAATAAATAAAGCCACATGCTTAGTGCTCACTACAGACAAAAACTCCCTCCCATTCCTCTCATTGTACACTGCTGCTTTGATTAACAAATTTTATCCCGGGAACTTTAGCTTATATAAGACGTGTTTTCTAAATTTGCATGGCACACACACACACACACACACACACACACACACACACACACACACACACACACACACACACACACACAGCCTAGGTTAGAGGCTCCGGGCTGTAGTGTGTACATCCATACTTTTCCTGCTGAACAAAAACAATGTCTCTACTCATGGTTCAGGCAGGCGTATGGTCAGTCACACCCTCATGTCCCATAAGGGGAGCTACTGCAGCGGTCTGATACATTCCCAGACGCACTAAGTTTGAGAGCCATTTCCTTTTAGGGGAAGTGAGTCACTGTAATAAGGCAGGGAGGGGCTCTCAGGGGAGAATATCAACGCCAGGTCTGCACAAATGATCTGAGGCGTTCTCAACAATCTTTTATTTTTAGTGGTTTGCACCAAAACTATTATTTTATTTCAGTTCAGCTACAAAGCTAATCTACTCTCATTATCTCCAGGGGATTTCTTTCAGAGGTTTTGTTCAAATTTTGTGGCTTTACACCAGAATGACATGCATTGTGCTTATCAGTAGAAGCTTTTCTTTATTTGTCAGAATTTCTCACTGATCGATGTGAGCTAATTGCTGTCAATATAGAGTACTGACTCTCTCTTCTATGCACAGGTTTAATGAGAGACATAAGGATGGAATCTTTTAAATTAATTTTGCTAACTCGTTTTCACATCAGGACCCATTGCTGTAATGAAGTTGTATTTATTAGAAACAAAGGAGATTGATTGATTGATTGATTGATTTATTGGCATTTAAGTAAATGTTTCATCTCTTAATTCTTTGTTGTTGAAAAGAAGGCATTTATAATCGTGGATGATTATTTTATGATATAATATATATCCTGATCCAAAGGTAACTGGACTTAGTTTAAGATCTTAAAGAAGTTTCACCTCTCCTCTGAAGTCCAGTTGACTTTGGATCAAGCTTGGATTTATTATGACTTGGACGACGGAGAACCAACACAGACATCCTGCTTTTTTTTTAACTATACAGACTTTTGCAGAATTCCAGAGACTGCACAGTTATTCCAGCAATGCGTCCACACAATCTAACACACTTTTTCTTACAGTATTGAAAAAATGTACTTTCAAGTCAGTGAGGAAAATGAATATTTATATAGTTGTGCTGTCTTCACTTTACCCCTTCTCTTATCGTCTCGTCTCCTTTCTCTTTTAACAGTTCTAGCCTTTCCTGCATTTCTGCTTGGGATCGACCAAAATCGTCTGAAGGAGAAAATTACAAGCAGGAAGATGGACAGTAAGTGGGGAAATGCAGTGGAGTCCATCGACGTGACACTGAACGTGGAGCAGGCGTGTTATACACGTGACGCGCTCTCTAAAGCACTGCATTCACGGGTGTTTGACTACCTGGTTGAGGTATGATCGCATCATTGATCATCTCTCTATATCTATATACAGTGTATATATATACATAAACAACAATTAATAACAAAGAAAGTCATTTAAACTAAACCATTCATTTGTTAACACTTTCCTTTGATTTCAGTCCATCAACAAAGCTGTGGTGAAAGATCATCAGGAGTTTAATATCGGTGTGTTGGACATTTATGGATTTGAAATTTTCCAAGTAAGTGTTTTTGACTTTTCACAGGAAAATAAGGACACTGTAATTTTACACTGCAGCAACACATAAATAGGATTATCAGGTTTTAACTTTGAGCATTTAAACAGATTAAAAGAAAAGGATAAGGCTCATTTATTAAGAATGTGGATTAGTTCTATCTCCTGATGGCAGACCTCAACATGCTTTACTAATCTGATTATTCTGTGTTTACTGTGATGTCCCCAACATGTTCATGTAAACATGTAGACACCTACATGGAACTGTTTGAGTGATATTCTAGTTTGTTTTTCCAAGAGCTCAATATTTTCTAATATCAAGCAGAGAGTATAAATGTGTACCATAACACTTAATACACGGTCAAGAGTGTCCAATGAACTCCACTGGCTTTGTCTGTCTTTTAGTTTAAGCGTTTTCACGATGTAAGAAAAGGTCCAGCGTTGAGTGTGCTGCAGGATATCAGACAGGATGCTGCAAACCAACATCACAAAATGCTCAGGCTCAAGCTCCATGAAAATTGTTCAATGAATTGCACAATAGGTCCCTTCCTTCAGTACAAGACAGCCTTTGTTTACTCCCCACTTCAAACAAAGCCTGAAGAGAGCTTAGAGGATATTGATACTCCACTGAAGAAGAAGCTCACATTGTGTTTGGGTTTCATGAACTTTGTTGTCTCTTCATCAGAAAAATGGATTTGAACAGTTCTGCATCAACTTCGTGAATGAGAAACTGCAGCAGATATTCATTGAGCTGACTCTAAAGGCGGAGCAGGTAAAGTTCCTCCTCATTCTCTTTTGTTTGTATCTGGTCTGTTTTGTCTTTTTAGTTCTGCTGACCCTGTGCTTCGTGTCTCTCTTTGTAGGAGGAGTATGTGCAGGAGGGCATAAAGTGGACTCAGATCGATTACTTCAACAACAAGATCGTTTGTGATCTCATCGAGAGCAAAGTAAATAAACGAGAATTACATACATGCATGATTTAAGATCATTTTTTGGGCTTTTGCCTTTATTTAGATAGGACAGTGGATAGAGTAGAAAATCAGGGGACACGTGGGAAGGAAGCGCAAGTCGGACTTGAACCCATCCCACCTGCTTGGAGGACTACTAGCATGCCTACTAGCATGTACAAGGGACGCGACCTAGCCCCGTGGCCATCAGCACCCTGATGATCTGCCCCTGTTACTTGCAGCCTAATATCCTGCAATGTGCTGACATTGCTCTTAATTTGGTTTATCTGCCCCACTGAGAGGACTCATCTATGAAAACAACAACAAGGGCTTTAAAACAAGCCTCCTCTGAGAGGGGCAGGGTCTGTATCAGTGCCTGACGGTTCAGACCTACATTAGTTAATCCAGTGATAACTTTACATGTGTCTGTTAAACAGAGGCTTGTGTTCTATTAGTGACAGACACTGGCAGCACTGTGCAAACTGACGGACTCTAATCTAAGGACACAATGGAGCCAAGTGGGGCAGTGTGTGAGAAAAAAGCTGCTACCCTGTTGGATTAGATTTATACTTTATAGTGTACAATTCATAAAGCTTGTGTGGCTTTTTAAATCTTGTGTTGATGCTACTTAGTGTCTAAGAGTCAAGATTCTCCATGTGTTTGTAGGAAAACCATTTTGTTCATATTTACCTTTAGATAGGCCTATAGAGAGTACTAGTCAAGTACTCAATTAGCTTCAGAATATGTCAAATCCATGTTGATAACTACTTGCTAAGTAAAATTAATTCCAAATGTTATTCAATAATTTAATCCCAGAGTCCTCCTGGCATCATGTGCATCCTGGACGATGTATGTGCCACCATGCACGCAGTCGGGGAGGGAGCCGACCAGACCATGCTGCAGAAGCTCCGTGTCCAGATCAACACCCACGAGCACTTCAACAGCTGGAACCAAGGCTTCATCATCCACCACTATGCTGGCAAGGTCAGTTGGAGGGAACTGGTTTACATCATTGGGGCATTCACATCTTATATAAGGGTGGTATTTAATCTGAATGGATTTCTGATTTGTTAACATCAGTATAATGTTTACTGCAACCATCATTCACTTGACTCTCCCCGTGTATAAACTGAAACCTGTGGTGTTAATCATACAGTTCTCAGTTGGGAGCTGACAGCAACTTCTGGAAATAGAAAGTTATTAAAATGTCATTTTTTTATGGTGTTGGTATGGGAGCTTTGCCTGTTACACCATGATGATCTGTCTTAAATATACGCAGCTGGTATTTTATTTCCTCTTGTCAGTGCCGTCATCTTTCTCTTATAAAGTGTATCCCGTCTAAACCATAGGTCGAAACTAACACCTCTGCCTTTCTCTTCTTTTTCTATTTAAGTTTGGAGTCCCTCCTCCTCTGCAACAGCATGCTACTGCGTCATACGTGCTAATCAGCCTTACACATTACAGCACCATTTATACCTTCTGTTTATACACTACGGTTCATCAGAAGTTTTCTTTTCTTCATCCTCTTTCAATGTGGTAGTCTTGGGCCGAGGTTGTCTAGTGTCATTCTCCAGATGTGTGGTGGCCTCAGCCTGGCACACACATGCCGCAGGCTTAATGAGCCGTGCAATAAAGACTCAAGGGGCTCCCATGACAGGGCTCAGAAGTTCCTCCAGTCTGTGTCCACAGTAACACACAAATAATGTGTTTTCATTCATACACTTTTAAACCACAGCTGGTTTTAAAAGGGAAGCTTACGGATGTAAAATCGTGTCATTCTCTTCTGCAATAAAATGTAAGCACATTTTTTAGTCCTTTTTTTTAATATATTTTCTTGTAGGTTAAATTTGTCAGTTTAAAGCCGTTCTTTTTGAAAATGATGACTATTTAAAAATCCTCCTGTGCTTCTCTCCTCCAGGTCTCCTACGATGCTGATGGTTTCTGCGAGAGGAACCGAGACGTCCTTTTTACTGACCTCATTGAGTTGATGCAGAGCAGTGAAATGTGAGTAACTCGACATGTGGTGATGATTTCTATGGTGCTTGATTTTAAAGCCTGTACTATTGTAATGCATATGGTAATAATTAAATACAAGCCAATGAGAGTTCAGATGTTGCAGTGCATCTGGAAGCTGGTGTGACGTAGCAGAAGTGTGCAGGGCAGGGATAATGTGTTGCCCTCTGCCCTGATTCTCGTCTGGCGGCTGTCCAGATCTGCAGCTTTTGGGGTTCTACCCAGTCTTAAGTGTGGGGTCTCCCTGCAGGGTTGCATTATAGAGTCCGCTCCTCCTGTGTTTTGGTTTCTTGGGCTATCTTTGTGTTAAAGTGGCCATCTGTGCAAACAGACTTGCATTGTCTGTGTAACCCCTAAAGCCCTCAGCCACCGCTTGCCCCCTTTGTGTGCACATTTGTGAGGCCTCAAAGGAGGTTATGTCAAAATCCCATTCAGACACGTGCTGCAAAAATATGCACTTTGCATCATATTCACTCACAAAAACTTGTATATTTATATATGTACATGCATAGATAAAAGAGTTTGGCTCAGTCATACATAGAGGAAGCCTGAGAAGGAAGGAAGCAGCCTCATTTCTCAGAGCAGCAGGTTTGAATAGAGAAGAAAGGATTGTCAGCTGGACATTATTATCAGACTTCTTTTTGTACACACAACCTGCTGACACTTTCTTCTGTGTCCATGGCCTTGATTCAGATGCCTGAAACCAAACAAATATGAGAGACAGCCAGTACGGGTGGAAATAAAAATAAATACTTGCATTTAAAAGCACAGAGAGAAAAATAAAGTTATTAACACCAGAGGTTGCAACATTAACACGCTGGTCAGCTTGAGACCAGGCCTGACTGTCTCCACATTTTTTGAACACAGTTCAAAGGGATGCTCAACTTGGCGACTCATTGACATATGGGTTGACCGCAAAGTGGAGAAAGAATGCAAATGCATACATAGTTTGTATATCTTGGAAATTAAATTTGTTTTAAAAAACGATTTTTTCTTTACGTTATCCTTGAAATGAGTTGAATGTCTTCAGTTGAGAAAATCTGAGAAAAGGAAAACTTCACAGATATCTGCAACAGCATGAGCACATCTTAAGGTGGTGATGTTGTAGGGACAAAAACCAACATTGTTATTCTCCATGTATTTAGTCTTTTAAGATGAAGTTAAGATTCCACAGTGGAGAAACTTATTTGCCACCTGGTCAATTCATACACACAACAAAGAATATTGACATTACAATCACAACACACAACAAGTAAATAAATAATGTCCATGTTACTGGATATTAGTGCCAATGTGTTGGATTGTTTTTTAGAGATATGAATAAATGTTTGTGTTGAAGTGACATCTACCTCCTAAAGAAAGAAGCTGTTAAATAAAAAATATGGATTCAAAAACCCTCCACCATGACCTTCAAGCACATTTTCAACTACCACCTGAGTGCTCTCATTTACAAATACTGGATAAATGAGAATGATCCTCTGAAGAAACACATACTTTTCAATGTCACTCTTCTTTTTGCTTATAATTCATGCTATACAGAAGTGACCTTCTGTAGAGTTTCTGCATGAAGAGGAGGCATTAGTTAAAAGTCCTTCTGCATTTTTCTTGTTTGTCAGCTGCACAGAGTCTGATCATCATATGAACTCTAAAACATTTTGTTTTTGTTGGTTTATAAATGAAACAAGACTTTCTATTTTCAACCTAACTAATCCCCTTCTCTTTTGTTTTCTGACAGCGCCTTCATCAGAGCACTGTTTCCAGAAAACCTCAACGCTGACAAGAAAGGTCGTCCCACAACTGCAGGCAGCAAAATAAAGGTGTGTGTGCAGAACAGTGTGAAACTGTCCCTCTTCTTTATCAGGGAAGCTCCAGGAAAAGATAGTGTGTGTTTGCTGTTCTGTGGGGGTTTTGTGTGTTTGTGTGTGTGTGTGGGGGGGGGGGGGGCAATGAATTCAGCGACTTCTTCAGTCACAGCATTTTTGTGTCTCTTTGCATCATCATATCGTCCTCTCTTAATCCGGTGTCTTACTCTTTCATTTAGAAACAAGCCAATGATCTGGTGAGCACGCTGATGAAATGTACTCCGCACTACATCCGCTGTATCAAACCAAATGAAACCAAGAAACCCAGAGACTGGGAGGAGAGCCGGTAGGTGACTAAATCGCTGGTCCCCCCTTTGGTCCTCAAGGTCTCACATGACTCTAACCATCCAGTCCATCAAACAATTAAGACTGCTCTGAAGAGCCTCAGTTTGTATACATATTTTTATATAATTGAATGGTAAATGTCAAATGCTGAAGGTGCGGAAGAAGAGTTGTAGCTCTTTTTGATCATGCTTGCTCTGAGTCTAGGTGAGAAGCCGAATCAGCGAAAAACATTACATGACTTGGCATTTTAGCAAATATCAGTTGTAGTATTAATAAATATTAACAGATGACAAATGATAATGAATGGATCAATTCTGTTCATCTTTATCATTACAAATTACATTTAGAAAATGTCTCTTTCACTGAAAGGAGCTATTGAACTGTCATTAATAAATGATAAACACAGTCCCTGTATGCTAAGTGGTCTCACAGAACAGCTTCAAACCAGATCAATGTTCTGATCTTTTCTGCCTCCACCCTTTTTTCGTTTTGCCCTTTTTTGGTATTTTCTGAAGACACAGTCATGTGAGTTGTATTACAACAGTTCCGCCCCCCCCTCTCTTTATCCCTTTGTTTCAGTTTCCCGCTCTTTCTTCCCACCTTCGGGTATTACATGTTCAGAGTGCTGTTGTATTGTTCAGAGCCGATGACCTTCCTGTTGTGAGTCCTGTGCAGACCGGCTCATTAATTAGCAGCGGAACTTGTGTTTTCACAGGATGTCTGAGTGTACTAAGTAGTGCTTTAGGTCTTTGTTTGAGGGAAAAGTTAGCTCGACACAGCTATTTTGCATACAATGACCTGTGATTTACCATCCTATCTAGGCTACTGTAGACCATCAATGTAGTCCCAGCACAAAAGGACGGTTCAGTCGTCAGCATTTTTTAAAAATACATTGCGTTTTACTCCACTATAGAGATGTTGGGATTCATAATTGTTGAAGCTTTTAAGGTAAAAAAAAAAAAAAAGAACAGAGACACCCTAATGTTCATCATGTGCACTTTTTGCTGTCTTTAGAGTAAAGCACCAAGTGGAGTACCTGGGTCTGAAGGAGAACATAAGGGTGAGGCGTGCTGGCTACGCCTACCGCAGAGTCTTCAGGAAGTTCCTCAACAGGTAACAGGCACTGACTACACAAAAGAATTGACTATAACACAGTTAAGTCATCCATTAGTTTATGAACTACCGTCTTGATCCACATCAATACTGCTGATGCCATCTTGGTTTTTTTTTTTTTTGAGTTGAGTAGGAAAGGAGCAAGGGGTTTGTAAAGGCTAAGTTATAAAAGCCAGTGTAACCAGATGTGTGTCTATCTGCTGGACTTTGGAGGATGTGTCTCTGTATCTCTGGGGTCTATTGTGCAGGAAGGACGCCACAACAAAATAGGAGTTGCTCTCACTCTGGTTCTCCTTTTATTCTGGAGCTGGAATAACAATCACAGCACACAGTCATCAGTACTATATAATGCAGCAGCAAAGGGCTCACATCTTCAGCTCAGGGGATTATTATATAACATCATGAGACATATTCATTTAGCATATTTGTAGCATAATCTGTGATTGATAAGTTGAAATATAATATTCCTGGCCTTATGTTACCTTGCAGGAAAACCTTCCAATGAGTTCTACACAGTAAGATTTATTCATTGAATATATATACTGGTATTTGTCTGGTTAAATGACTTGAGACTTCCAGTACAGGAATTAAGTTAAGGAAGAGAAATTGCAGGAATGGTACAACAACATTAATATAAAGGTAGAATCTGTGTCATCCAAACTGACTGGACCACCCCTACTGATGTATAATACTTGATCTCTGTGAACCTCTCTGCGCCTCAGGTATGCCATCCTGACCAAAGAGTCCTGGCCAACGTGGCGAGGAGACGAGAAGCAAGGCGTTGTTCATCTCTTACGGTCTGTCAACATGGACCAGGATCAGTTCCAGCTAGGTAGCACCAAGATCTTCATCAAAGCCCCTGAGTCGGTACGTATGACAGCCCCCATGTCTTCTTCTTTTCAGTCATTGCACTTTTTAATAGCTTCTCTATCAGAAAGCCAAGTAAAGGCAAGTTTACTGAAGAAACTTAACTACAACTCAAATCACACCTTAGTATGTCTACTGGCAGGCAAAGAGGCTTTTTGTGAATAGAGAAAAAAACTAAACTCACCATATTTACATTAAACACCATAAAAGGGCACTCGTGTCCCAAATCTTGCTCAAATCCCTGTTGTAAGGGGAGGAGATTGAACCCGACCCTTAAACCACGTCAGCACTGAGTCAACACGGCTCTGGAACTGAAACACAAGCACAGGCTGTGGTTGCAAAGTTTGGGGGGAACATCGTAAAGGCCTGTCTTTTTCCACCATAACTCCTTTTTTTTTTTTTTTTTTTTTTTTTTTCATGATTCCTATGAAAGCAGCACTTGTGTGAAGCCTGCACTCTCACTTATTAACACTGGTGCACATCATGCACGAACTAGCATGCACGGTGCACACACACATATGTATGTTCAGAGGTTCAAAACACACATCTCTGCTTTAATTCAGGCCTTGAATGTCTTTACTTATTCATTGCAACCCCCCCAACACACACACACACACACACACACCCAACACACAGCCAACACACAGCCACAGAGTCACAGAGGTGTCATTATGAAACGCAAATATCACAGAGCAGAGCGCTGAAATGATATGCCAGGCTTCTCAAAACAAGCCTTTCTGTCTGATGAAACACTGACACCAGCTCATTAGTTGAACGATTGAAGCTTTTTTTTTTTCCCTGTTGGATGTAATAAGTAAAGTTTTTTTTAACACCAGGCCAGATGTTGGAGAAGAGTTTCTCGTTCACAGTGTTGATAGATGAGCGGTGGCTCAGTCTGTCTATTAAAGGTGTTAATATACGGAGGCACAGTGAAGACTCCATCATTGTTTTCATTGATTTTTTTCGTTCTTTACATCATATTTAACCATTTACAATTGAAGTCAGTGCATTTAGCTTTTAAAAGCAGTACACAAGATGTAAAGATTTGTTTCACAATGTAAAGTGGTTATACCCTCTCCTTTAATAACATATATTACATTTTAGCAATAAGTAATGGATAGTGAACATTGTAGTTTCTGAATAAATGACTTTGATGTTAACAAATAATTAATACTTAAGTCTGCATAAAGCATTAACCATTGACTGTTTGAATGTTGCTTATAAAATTGTTTGATAAAGTAATAAGATATAATTGCTGAATAACTAACTGATAATCAGATCAAGGTTTGAAACTTTTTTTTCCCATATTGAGAAATGTCCTTAGATGTGTCACCTGGGATGTGACTTGTACAGTTACTCTCTCAGTCAATGATTCAGTGTGTTTTTCCTCCTCACAGTGTTTGCGGGTGACGTTGATTTGTTGTGTTTCAGTGTTGTCTGTGGTTTGTTGCGAGTTGTGTTCCAGCAGTGGGCAGGATGTTTAGTCTGGAGGGACAGGGCAGAGTGTGATTGCATGTCTATAGGCCAGTCACATGATTGGTAAGGAGGGTGCTGGTCTGTTGGCGCAGAGTCAGCTCCTCGGGCAGGAAGTAAAATAACCATATAATGAGAAAGTACATTTTTAATGTGCATTTATAGGTGTGCTTGAAGTCATTGTAAAAGACATAATAAATATCATCAAGTACATGACATACTTACCAGTGTTCATGCAAATCTAAGACCGTTTTAGTATAGTTGGTTTGTGCTCTGAAGAATGGCAGTAACATACTTTGTGTTTTTTCTCACAGCTCTTTCTGCTGGAAGAAACCAGGGAGCGAAAGTTTGACGGCTACGCAAGGACCATCCAAAAAGCCTGGAGAAAATACATGGCTCGCAAGAAGTATGTCCAGATGAGGGAAGAAGGTGAGTGAAGGAGCAATTTACAGCTTTTTCTGTTTTCCCCTTTTGCCTCTGTCTCCATCTCTCTCTAAATCTTTTTACGTGGTCTGTGTAGCTTCTGACCTGCTGTTAAACCGTAAGGAGAGGCGGCGACACAGCCTCAACAGAAACTTTGTAGGGGACTACCTGGGGATGGATGACCGGCCGGAGCTCCGACAGTTCCTGGCCAAGAGAGAGAAAATTGACTTCGCAGACAAAGTCACAAAATATGACCGCCGCTTCAAGGTCAGTACCCTTCAGTCGACCGGCTGTTTCTGTTGCTTTAACAACTGACAAAAGCATGAACATGATTAACATCCTTCTGTTTCTTTCTCTGCTCTGTGTAGGGGATTAAGAGGGACTTGATCCTGACACCGAAGTCTGTGTACCTGATTGGAAGAGAAAAGTTGAAGGAGGGGCCGCAGAAAGGCCAGGTGACAGAGGTGCTGAAGAGGAGGATCGATGTGGAGAAGATCTTAGCAATTTCTCTAAGGTACAACGTAGTTACACACTAGTCAAACTGGGACACACTAGGCTGCCTCATTTTAGTTATATTAACATCTGTATCAGATATTCCGTTCATCTCCCTGACTTCTCGGACGCTCGGCATAAAAAGTATAGACATTGCACTGCACAAAGTCATGAGTCTACATCAAAGCTACAGTCTGTTTTCCTAATCACACAAGTTCCAGTGTTCTTATAAATGTAACAAAAGGAGAACATGTGGAGTATATTACACCCACCTTTGATATATTTGTCTGTGTGTCTGCCCCTTTGTGTGTGTGTGCAGGTTTCAGGAATGTGATTGAAATAATACACAACCCAAAAACTCACATGAACAGAGAAAAGACAAGAATAAAGGCAGTGAGAGACCTGTCTGGCCTTGATTGTCGTTAGGCACAATGTGTAACTTGTTTTATAGGTAGAAATCACAGAACTGTTGGTGTGAGCATGTGGCTTTTGAGTCAGTGGGGTTTTATGGGCCAGGTGTTTCAATGAGCGAAAGCAGGAGTTGTAAAAAGCTCATCAGAGAAAAAGCTCCACTCCTCTGGGGGGGGGGGGGGGGGGGGGGGGGGGACGACGACGACAAAGTATCCTTCATTGGGTTACGGGTACAAGCTGTCTCCCCCTCTTCAGATATGAGACCCGCTCTGTTTCTATGCAAATGTGAAAGATGAGTCTAACTCTCCATCTTGACCTCCATCAGAGGCATTTCAAATGAGCATCTCAGTAACAGCTACCTTTGTGTTTTTCAGCACAATGCAAGACGACTTCATGATCCTGCACGAGCAGGAGTACGACAGCCTGCTGGACTGTGTCTTTAAGACAGAGTTCATCAGCCTACTGTCCCGCAGGTTTGAGGAGAAAACCCAGAGGAAGCTACCACTCAAGTTTAGTAACACGTAAGTCAACACGCGAATCAATACTAATCGACCACAGTCAAAAATGTCAATTGTAGTTGTTGGGAAGTTGTTTGGTGTATGTCTTCACACCTCCAAAATGTGACTGCTTCTTCGTGATGTCTGAAATATACTTAAAGATGGTGTAAAAAAATAATTTGCAAAAAAAAAATGTGTCATTAAATCAGAAGTCTGAGCCTACTTATAAGGAAGTTAATGTAATCAAATGAAGGTTCTCGTGAAGTCACAAGACTATAAAAGATAATGTTCCTTCAGCTTGAGCATCATAAATATGTTATTGCTTTGTTTGTCAGACTGGAGATGAAGTTGAAGAAGGAGAACTGGGGCTTCTTGAGCGGCGGCTCCCGGCAGGTAGTGTTTGTCCAGGGTCAGGGAGAAATGCCCATACTGAAACCTTCCAGCAAATCTCTGCAGGTCAGCGTTGGCCCTGGGCTTCCCAAGAACACACGTGAGTACTAACAGAGTTTAAAGTACAGAAACGGGATTCGAAGCCCTATGACTTTAAAGATAAAGATTTTACAGCATTTGGTGTTAGTGGCACTTTTATTTTCAGTTTCAGCCCCTTCCTGTTTGATTCTTTCAGCTGAAGTACTATTCCCTCCTAATCTTCATGTTGTGATATTTTTTTAACCTGTTGGCTTGTTTTCTGTAAATCAGGTCCCACCAAGAAGACTTTTTCTCAGGTTCGCTCCAACATGTCCAGAACTCACCAGAACATCCCCTCCCGGGCTGCACCAGGACCTCCAGGTCAGTGTTCAGACATAATTGTTTTTTTCTTACATCTATTTGTTCATAAAACACAGCAAGAGCCATTTTATTCTTATTTTTCCTATTACAGTTGCCCACCAAAATGGAGGTCTTAAGAACAGCAACCACTTAGCCAATCGAAAGAACTCGCAGAATCACAGCCAGAGGCCTCCCTCAGCCAGCAACGGGACACACCCGATCCTGCCGAGCAACATCAACCAGGTGAAGGAGCGAGGCGGCAGCCGGCCACAGCCGAACCTGGACTGTCTGAAAGTCCCTGAACAAGGCGCTGCAGGGTGAGAAACACAAACACTAAACAAAATACATAAAACACGCTGTGTGTGCAGAAGTTAACAAAATAACTCACACACTCAGATAACAGAGGAGGACTTGAACTTCACATCTTAAGTTCAAAGATAAATAATTGGAGTTTGTTTCATCGCCCCCAATGATTGTTGCTTTATTTCGTTTTTACCCGACCCTTTTTAATTTACATTCAAGATCATTTGAAAACATTTCAGTATTATGTTTGCCTGATCATTTTAATGTTTTTAAATGTGAATATCTTTATAGTTCACACTTGAAGCCCTTTTAAGATACTTAAACCATACATTACAATGTAATGTAATTTTATTTGGTATATCTTTTTATTCCAATTTGTGTATAAATCAACAGTGTAGTTACCACATAACCTCTGAATGTGACCTCATCTAAGGCATATTAATGATCATTTGCCCACAGTTACCATAGACACACACTGATATACACACTTGTGTCTCTGTAATTTGCCATAATTTGGATAATTTATTCTTTTGTAGTAACGGAGACAGACGGCCAACTTCAAACGGAGGAATGTGAGTTAGAGTGTTTGTAGTGTTTTTGGTGGTGGTTCATTGGTAGAAAAGCTTGGAGCAGATGAACAAATAGACGCTTCTTTTCTTACACATCAGTTCTTTTTTTTTTGTTCAAACTCACATAAGAAGCAAAATCTAGACCACAACTAACATTTCACTTTCTGCTGCTGCTCGTCTGTTACGATTCATCTTGATCAAATGGATCTTTTATTTCTGCAATGAAAGATTCATGAAAGAGTTTTTTGTAATGAGAGAATCCCTTCTGTGCAGCTCCTCGGACGGCTAATCAGGGATCTCTTCTAATACAGAAGAGATGGCAGACGTATAAAATAAATAAAGATACTTTAAACTTTGGGTAACTTTTCCACTATTCACCTCTGAACTATTTGATCCTCAGTTAGTTTGGCCGTTGGGTAAAGTGTTCAACTCTCAAGTCTTTTGTATAACATTTGGTATATGTTCAAACTAATTTGGAAGAGAAAATACTTCACATTATTCAGGATTTTCCAATTATATGAATACAGTCTGAAAAGAGAGTAAAACACTGATATAATAAAGGAACCACTGACTCTGGATCAACACTATTCTCTAAACTCTGTAGTCTGTTTTGTGAAAGATCAAGTGTGCCCTCAATTGCCATCTTGTGGCTGAAATATGAACAGCAGTATTTTGCCACACAATCCTTAGTTTGCAAACAAGTTATTTCTTTATTGTTCAGTAAACTGACACATATCTATTCAGGAGGATTTAAGCTACAGTCAGCTGAGAAAAAAACACTTTTGTGTTTTTATTTTCATGATTTGACAGGTGTGTAAAAACTAAGACATTAAGTTTGAATCAAAACGTTTTTAATAACAAGATGGTAATTATGTATGCACACTTATTCTGATGTACTTTGTTAAAGTGTAGTAAAACGCCTCACTTAAAAACAGTTTCTTCTGACTTATTTTACAGCCTCTGCAGCAAAGAACTGTAGTGAAAAGGCGTTGTAGCTAATACTGCAGATATTTACAGTCGTGCTGTTTCCCTCTTCTTTTGATCTGAATGTCTCAGGGCCCACAGACCATCAGCCACCAGACCTCCGCCGGGAGGAGGACGACCCAAACCTGCACCAAAACCCAAACCCCAGGTGCCCCAGTGCAAAGCTCTGTATGCCTATGACGCTCAGGACACGGACGAGCTCAGCTTCAATGCTAATGACGTTATCGATGTCATCAAAGAGGGTAAGGCAAGACAGGATGAAGTGTTGATCCTTGGAGACTTGGTGACATAGACTAGAAAATAACCAGTTAATGCAAGAAAAGTAGGAAAGCAAGGGATGCTTCTAGTAAATAGATAATCATGATTTTTGCCTGTTTACAAAGACTACAGTCCTCAGTGCAGCTGCACTGGGTTTGACTCCAACATTGGCCCCTTGTGCTGTGATTTTGAATTTCTATATAATTTTTAAAATGATGTGGCATTGTAGGATTTGTTTTTAGTACGTTGATGTTCTTTCTTTGTTTAACCTTTTAATTTAGTGTTTGTATTCCTTTATTCCTATTATAACTTTGAAACATATAAATACAGAACAAAATCAATATGTTTATTACTTTCACCAAAAATATAAATATTAAATAAAAGAGAAGGTAAGGAAGCATTAAAGTGACTTATAATCTAATCTTAATCACAATGTGATTATTGTCTTGTCTTTGGTTTAGATTCATCCGGGTGGTGGTCAGGACGACTACGGGGAAAGCAGGGACTCTTCCCAAACAACTACGTCACAAAGATCTAAAAGCTGCCAGGTCACAGATCCAGAAGGAGGAGAGGGAGAGCCGGCTGTGTACCCTGCTGACCCTCTCAGAGGACTAGACAGAGCTCAGGGGCGGAGAGAGAGGTGCTGTGAGATTTCTCAAGGAGAGAAACTCACACTTTCTCTTATCGCCGCCTTTTTAGTAAATGAATGTAACTCTCTGCCACGCCACAAGACCGTCAGGCTTGAGACAAGGCTCTTCTTCAAAGACAAGAAGACTGTTTGACCCCGGGGTCTGTCCCTCTGAGTACTGAACAAAACTATTTATTGTATTTATAGCTTTTCTCCTTACTGTCTTTTTTTATTTTACCTTACTGAGGATTTTTGAGCTCAAACATTTTGAAGCGCTGGAAATGAAATATGCTTAATATTTGGGACCAGGCTGTGATTTTTACTCTTAGTGCGTCATTTTTTTAAGATGAAAGTTTGATATTTATTTTGGTGTAACATCTTACAGGGGACAGACTTTCAGTAAATCACCCCACTGTGATTTCATAGTCATTTTAAGTACCAAAGCAATACCAATTTGAATCAGCCTGTTCCACATATTAAAAAAAAATTCATGAATATGAATCAGCTGGAAGTTAGCTTTTTTGTTTGTCCTGTTTTCTATTTCTTCAGTATATTTTCTACACAGAGAAGAGGCCATGTATACTGTAACCTGAGCAGGCTGTCTGTGGTGTATTAGCACTTTATTGGTACAGGTACTACCTTGGACACAGACACCATCACTCATTCATGCCACAGCCAGTAAGGTGCGTCTATGAAGGACAGGTTGCCAAGCCAGCAATACCCAGAGTTACTGAGGAGAATGATTTGTTTACATGAAATTATAAAACAGGCATTTTTTTAGATTTGATTCTGTATATGTGTTCATATTTAGGAGTATGCCTGTAGTTGCTTACAGTTTAAATTAAGTGTTTTGTATTTTTTTTTTCTTCTGTAAAAGGATGTTTCTATTTTTCTCTGCTTACGTTCCTCACAGGGCTGTATTATTTCCACTTCGGCTTCACATACATAATGATGCTTCTCACAGACGAGGGGGGTGAATTGATTTCTGTTTTGTCAAGTGCAAAAGTTGTTGTTGTTTGGTTAAAGATATTTGTTGACTTTTTTTTGATGGAACTGCAAAGGTTTCCTTTTGCTTCTGCACGACTGTTTCTGCACATCTTTTGCACTGCTGTTGCATTACTTACACATTCCTTTGTCATTTATGAAAGAAAAACAAATCCACATTATTCTCTATTCAGTAAAAACAGCTGGGACTTCTGTCAAGAAATCTTCTAAAAAATAGTTCAAGCTTGGATGCTTGACAACATCCTTGTGCAATACAACCCAGTGGATTTTAATAAAGCATGTAAGATGATGTATTTAACTGCTTTTATTTTGTTTTATTATCAGAAAACCTAATCAATAAACCATGATCAATGCCATGTTTTTGTGTATTGCAATAAACTGTAGACATGCCAGAAATTAACCATCAGAAATGCAGTTTAGGATTTTATGAATACTGAGATTAGAAATTGAATCAGGCAACTCAAACAGACCAAATCCCTCTTGAATAATCCCCGTTTTAAAAATGTTGTCAAGCCACTGCAAAACATCTTCACTATTTGCCATTTGATTGTACTTCTATTATGTTTAAGATGTCTTAAAACATGAAGTTCTGGGTGTATATAAATCTTTTAGACTCAAGACAAAGGAGTTTTCCTTTTAATGAACTTCCTCCACTTTGTTCAGGACATTACTGAAAGTACTACTTATTAGTGGTAATTATCCTTTTTTGGCCTAAATTGTCTAAGTTAAGACAGTGAGTCGTTGTAAATATATATTTCAACAGTAATTATACTATGAAATCTCCAGTTTATTAAAAAATAAAGAAAACATTGCCATTGTCATATTTATGAGAACCATTCACATCAGGGTTTCTGAGTTCATCCTGACACTACTTGCATGAAAATCAATCATTTGTGCTCCACCTAGCATTTTGTGGTAGTTTATGCCCGCCTGTGTCTGTAAGAAGTACTGCACTTGATCTGGTATACTGACTCAGCTGCTTTAAACTTCAGTGTAAGGGTTCATTAAGCCCTCAGTAAGGCTTACTATCCACAGTACATATAATAAACACTATATTATATTTTAATTGTGTATCTCTTTGAACACTGGCCTAGTTGACCCAGATGTTTCCATTACATTTATTATTCTCAGATCTGGCCAAATCTTATTTCCCATTTCAACAGATGAAATGGAAAATAATGAAATTGAAAACTAAGTTTACCTTTACCTGCATATCTGGATATTTTTGTTCCGCCAAGTATTTAGCATTTATATATGAAGCCCTGCTCCAAACGTACAGGTACAGGGGACTTCAATTGAGTAATCTTAAAAATACAACTCAGGGGAAGTAATGAAGTCAGTCTTATGGAAGTATGTTTATGTTAACCTTTTTTTTTTCTATCCGATGGGCAGCACCTGATGGGTAATGTGTCTGATCTCTAGATGTGTTTTTTTTTTTTTTTACAAATTGGACTCGCACCTTAGAACTCGTAAAGCATAAGGTAGTATTATTGAATCCTCAAACATTTGTTTTCAATGACAACACCATGAAAAGACTCAATCAAGAGTTATCCAAGTTTATTAATATTATTTTTAAAACTAATATAAATCCCACAGAATATGATCCTGGTGTAAATCAATGAATGCATGGATACCTGCTTTAAGTACTGCATTTAAACACTCCATTCAAAATATCTTTTTTTAAATTATTTTTTTAATGTTCATCAGAGTGGAAATACATGGCCTCAGTGCACTCTCATATTCACTACTACTCTCCTACCCTTTTCTCTCTTGTGCAAGACTACGCGAGTGAGTTAGTCAACAGTATTAGTGTTCTTCTTTCTCGCAGCAGCCACAGTGCTTGCTGCTGCTCCACTACAGAGAGACAAAGGGGAGGATGGATAAAAATGGTTCAAAGTGTGAGAACAAACAGTAAATATTTATCCAAAGTTGAGCTGTGTATTTCCCTCTGCACAGACACAAGCAAGCACACAGGAAATCAAAAGTAAATGCCATTGCCTGAATCAAACTGAAAATAATAATCCCAGGTCACAGGCTCATGTTGGATTTGTCAAACACGTTTAGACCTGAAGTCATTTACAGAAACCTATTGAACTATCACAGGCCCGTCTTTAACAGAAGCAAGAGAAGATTCACAGCAGATTCAACAATCTCTCAGTTTAAAAAGAACAGTCGAGAGAGGGAGGAGACATTCTTTTGTTTTTTGTTCTCTAAAATACATCAGACGGTGTTCCTAGTCAAATGAAGGTGCTGGAGGAGGGTGTTTTCTTAGCAAAGCATGTGCATATTCTGGGAGTGAGGTGAACATCAGAGTTTTATTTCCACTCTAGAAAATACTGGGTGTGCACTTATACAGCAGCCGATCTGTTAACATATTCCCCTAGTTAGGAATGTTTTGATTTATTAAAAAAAAAAAAAAAAAAAAAAAACATCTTTCACTAACAATCCACATCTTCTAAACATAAACTAATCAATACAATGATTGGTAAAATGAATCCTGCAATGTTTGTTTTTTTTACTGGAGGCTGACATTCTATTCTAGTAAAGCAAGGCATTAGGTTTACAGAAATGCATCTTTACTAGAGCAGCTATCCTCACCTGCAAGTTGTTAGGCCGTGTTGAGCCCACGTTATATGTGCAAAGAAATGCATTGCAAGGAGACATGCAGAGAAACAAAACAAAAATGACACTTGAGGAAACAATCGAAGCTACATAAAAGCTTTATAAATACAATAAAATCTTATACCCTTAATGGAGAATTCTAGCTGTTGTAGTAATAAGTGATAGCTGGCACTCTAGGCTCGATGCTTTTTTGTCAGATGTTTTTTTTTTTTCTCGTAGTAGAGCTGCGCAGGTAATTCATGCCATCTTTGGTTGACTGCAGTACTGAAGAAAAAAATGTAAATGATCATAAAATAAATTCTTTCAACAAAAGGGGTGTTTAAAAAAAAAAAACAGCATCAACTCTCAGCAGACAACTGCGCCTCAATGTCCACTCTGCAAATGGGGCACTTCTTATTGGTGAGGAGCCACTGATCAACACACAGCTGATGGAAGAGGTGCATACATGGAAGGCGCCTGGTGGGGGAAAAATGAGAGGCAGAGAAAAATAAATATTAAAACAAGGTTTGGAAAAAGCTTTAAATCACATGGTGTATTAAAATCACTTTATTATCAGCCTGAACTTGAACATGACGAGCCTCTCTTTTATTATCAGCAGCTTTTACTAAGCTCTACCCGCGTTTCTGTTATTGGTCTGTCGCCATCATTCACAGCGCTCAAACCAACATGGGTTAGGAAATCATGGAGAAGTGCCAAAAGCAGCTCCATGAGGCTGCTCATTTTAAGGTACTCTGGGGTTTTTCTACCTATTAGTGTACCTTTGGGGGGGAGAAACGTATATAAATATATATACGTCTGAAAGCATAATTGGGGACTTTAAAGTGGGAGCAGAATGCAGCAGAAACACCCAGGGGGCTGGGGGTGTTAGTGGGGGGGGCATTTACCTGACGTCCTCCCCCTCCTCCAGTATTGACAGACAGATGGTGCATTTTTCCTCTGTGTCTTCATCTGCACCCTCATCTTCTTCTTGCTTACCATGCAGCTTTCTCTGTTTGGGGAGAAACATTTGGAGACATGAGGTTTGATCAGTGAAGCCTCAGAAGACTAATTAAAATACTTTAATAATTCTATGAATCCACATAAAACTGCTCAACTACCACACTGCGTTTACAATACTAACACATTAACATTTGTATAAGATATAAGTTAACTATAAGAACAAACAGTGAAACAGAAAAAATAGATTCTTTTGGGGACAGAGAGAATGGTCATTTTGTCCTGAAAACAGAAAAACTTTCTATCTGTTGTCTCTATGCTAAACAAATCACATTTATCCAAATCAAAGTTATTTTAAGCCGAATCCCCTGGCCCCCCAAGAATAAAACTAACATCTACTGTACAAGTGAGCAGAGACATGTTTCCAAATTGATTTGTTCATTATTTCTCACCGATTCTGGGGTTGCGTGCATATTTTTCCCAATAGATGCCCAAGCTTCAGGGGTTAACTGTTGGTCAATGTCTCTCTCCAACACCTTCTGTATTGGGTGGCAGGGTGTTAGATTTCTTATTTAGATACATTTGGAAAACTCTAAGGAAACTTTTCCCCAACAATGTCGTCACAGCTTCAACCTTTGGTAAAACACACTACAGAATTTTTCTAAATGTTGGCAGAACATCAGACGTTTGAAATGAGCACAAAAGACCACTGCGCACTCTGTCCCAGAATAAACTGTAACAGGCATGCACTACTTTTAACAGTATATACAAAATCTAATGAACAGTATATTCAAACTGCGCACACACACACACTCAGAAATCCTCACCTTTTTGTACTTGTGTGGATAAGTGCACCTCTCTATGGTTCCCTGAGAGGCTCCTCGGTTCACAGTCCCCAGTCGTTCCTCTAAATGCAGCAGGTCCTGGAGGGAAGCAGAATAACCAAACCACAATGAAAAGGACAGACACATTTTGGGAGGACATGAGGCAGCTAAACTGTAAAGATGGTTTGTGCTAGGGGTAAAACTTGAGCTTTTAGACTCTGTCAAAGCTGTGTGCATGTTTGTGTGGACAAAAATCCTGAAACAGCAAAATCAATATTAACTGCAAAATGTGTAACTCCCTCTATTCAGTATAGATGGTTAAAGAGGCAGCTTTATCATCTTTACAATAGCATAGTATCCCATGTTCTGTTTTAGAGCCCGACCGATAAATCAACCAGCCGATAATATCAGGAAAGTTGGCAGAGACACAGACCTGCTAGCTTGTGAGTCTCGCTGCCCGACTCCGCTGGTCACTCTTTAACTTTAATAGAGGACTCTTTCAATCAAAAAAGCACTCCACAAGGTTTATTTACAGAACAATATACCACTGTTTTCTGTAAATGCATGATTATGACCTCGTGAGGGCGAAAAGATGTGGAAAAAGTCACGCAGCCAGCCTGGTCTGTGTCGCTGTCTTTCCCAGCACAGCGTGCAACCAGCTTTCAATCCACAATGAATGGGGATGTTTTTTTTAATCGCATCAGGTTGCAGTTAGTGGCTGCTGTTTAAGTATTTTAAACTGGTATATTGGTCGCACCGGTGTATAAGACGCAGCCAACTTTTAAGACGAAAAAAATAGGTATTAAAAGTGCGTCTTATAAACCAAATTTTACTGTATTAGCTTTTACGTTGCAGATATGTGCCCATATTACTAGATTTATTCACCAGTCAAATAGCATTTAGTTTAGCAGCTTTTTCACCAGCAGAGTGTGCTATAATGATTACAACAGGCATTATCAGCCTTCAGACAACAAGCAGTGATGCATGTATATGCACAGTTGAGTGACCATCTTGTCTTCGTTATACTGTATATCTTTTCTACAAGTGTTTTATTACTGCATTTGAGGGATCAACACAATAAATGTGTATATTTATATCTATCTATCTCTCTCTCTCTCTCTACAGATTTCCTAGATCTAAGAAAGATATCGACAGATAAATCAAAATCGGATTTTTTTCTCTCCACAATATCAAAATCGCACCCAGATATCCCATATCTGTCGAGTCCTGGTCTGTTTGAGATACTAATATCGGTCAACTGTAAAAACATATCCTCATTCCTTTGGTAAGAAACAGGGATCTGTTGATGAGTCAAGCTGTTGTAATCATAATATTGATGACTCTTCTCACCTCATAGGTTCTTCCAAAACCAGTCATTCTTGATGAGATGTACCGAATGTGCGGGTAGGTCACTTCAGATATGCCAGTGTGCTGTGAAGGACCAAAGAAAAAGAACCTATTACATTTTGTTTTTTTAAATTGATTTCAAAACAATCTTTTATTTTCTTAATATTATCATGTTTCCTTTAGTCTTTTTATGGATTCTTTAACTGCTGTAAAAAGTAGATGATATAGTGGACAGTGGATCCCCCTAATGAGAGATCAATGAAGTTATCTCAATTTCAGCATGTCTCTCTCAGTACATGACAGCATTGAATCCTTCAAGGCTCCAGTAACATTTTTGTTAAACTGTAAAAGCTTCTGATGATGGTCAATAATATTGCTGTTCTTATTAAAGTCATTGGACTGTAAGCACTGCTGTATTATCTTATGATTTGGTTGATTATTTCCACATCCAGAAGTTAAGAAGCAAATCTACTTTCATACAGTACATTCACTCTTTTAGAGTCGTGATTTGACCTCCTGATGAGTGGAAGTGCAAGATTAAAGCTTGTTTATCTTTTTTCAGGATTTTCCCAAAACCATTTATTTCAGAGTCAGCAATGAAACTGAACAAAATCTATCATCTTATGGGCCTGACAGCACCGTTGGATAGATTTACTGACATTTTGTTGTTGTTCTTAGAAACCCCTTTGGAAACTTTAAGGGCGATTGGCATTTAAATGTTTTATTTATTTCAAAAAGAAATACTCTGAATGTGTTTACATGGTAAATATCATGAAGGTTATTGATGTCAACAACTTCAAACTAATGAACTCTGGCAAGGGCGTTGATTAAATTTCCCTAGCATATTCTTTGGTTCTACTTCTCTAACCTCTTATTCTGAGCATGCATGTTGTAATACTGTGGATATGCTTCAAACATTTGGAATACAAACTGGCTTTAAATGATGCAAGGAGAGCTGAATGCAAAAAAACACTTCATGTTTGGGTGTTTGAAGGGGAAAAAAAGTACAACATCAGGAAACTGTCATCATATTTTTGCAGGATCGTCTCCATGCCTGTAGATTTGTTGAGAGAGTACTTGAAATGCATCATTTGCTACTATTAATCACTAATGCATTATTCATACTATCCACCAAACCATCCTTGAAATAACTGCTGTTCTAAAAAAGGAGCCAAAACCATTAATCTAAGCCAGATTTGATAAAAAAGTGATTCTTTCTCATTTATGCTAATGTATGCATGTGCACTGAGGGCTGCTCTTACCATGAAGGGGATGGGGAAGTGGTGCAGTCTGGGGGGAGGATGGTAGTGGGGTAGGTGGGAGTGCAGGTGCCCTGAAGGGAACGGTGCCACAGTCACCCCCGCCTCAATGCCAAGCTCCCTGTAGGTAAAGAAAAAGCAGTTGATCAGTCCTCATGAAATCAAACACGTCCTGTATTCTATCTGATCCGAGTTGCATTTAAAGGTGGAATACTTGGCTAACATTAAACTGGGGTTAAATTGTTTTAATCAGCTGTCTGGGGAGGGTCCCTAACTCTGATACTGACCATGCTGTCCTCTGCTCAGGCTGGCGAGGGTGGGAAGACATAGTTTGAGGCACATGAATGTGGTGTCCATGGCCATAGTTCGGGTGCATTCTGTGGGGGTGCGGAGGCGGACGCTCATGTGCTCGTCTACAGGAAAGAAGAAAACAACAAGCTTTAAAATGTATATAAATACTCAGGGTGAGGAGAAAACATGATCTGTGTGAGAGCAATACTCACGTAGGGTGCTGCATCATCCTGCGCCTCTGGACCTCCATCCTCTGCAGCATCTCGTGTTGGTGGAGCCTCTGCACGGAGGCCCCCAGCGCAGGTATATGGTGAGGCAAGGTCTGATGGTCCGCGGGCAGGTGCTGGGCCAGCGGGGCACTTGAACTAGAGAGGTGGTGGGTAGACAAGGGAGGGGGAGGGGCAGGGGGCACGCCGTGGCCAGTAGGGTGGGATGACAGTGGTGGATGGAAGGTGACTGTGTGGGGGATGACATAATCACCCTGAGGAGGAGGTTGGGGTGTAAGTTGGGGGTTCCCATGGGAGTGAGGGCAGGCAGAGGAGGGCTGATGATGCAGCGAGCGTGCTAGAGGGCCATCTTGGTGTGAGAAAAAAAAAAGAATAGAAAAAAATTAAGTCAGTACGTTCTAAAACTATAGGCTGCAAATACCAATAATTTCCATTGAAGCGTTGAAAATTGAAGGCATACATCTTTTACCCCAAGAGTCACATTTATATTTTCACATTTTTTGAAACTTGTCAGCCAGTACAACAAAATGGCTCAGTGATGTGTGTGCAATCATTTTTAATCCCAAGATCCCTTCTGTTGTTGTTGGTTTTGAGGTTGTTTTTTTTTACTGTAATAAACCAACAATATGGCACAAGTGATAAAACGAAGGTTACAAAGGTATCCACAGTTCCATAAACCCTGGATGACTGCCAGACTTATCAATTACTTGGAATCTGTGAGACGCGAGAAGACTTTGTGGGAATGGGCGCTATAATGACAATGGTAGTTATACCTGTCCGGGGGTCAAAGGTCACACGTCACTTTGTTGATGTAAGTACTCGACCTGCGTTGCTTAAGACGGACATATTCAGTGCGTAGAACTTCCTCTGGCAGTCAGGAATGGTGAAATGGAACTGTACCAGGATTTAGCTGCACAGGCTAATACTTGCTGATAGGATGAGTTTGCTTTTTTATGACGGCAACTTCATGGGATTAGTTAATACAAACATAGAGCACAAGCATAATTATCCTTTAAGGTTTTTTTTAACAGTTACAATGTGTGTAAAATAAGGGTATCATTTATATTTTATGCCAGCACACAAACATCTCGACTATTCATCTAACAAATTATTCTTCATAACATTTTTTGTTGTTTTTGACAAACCCTTCTGTTATTATTACAACTGATGTGTTTCTTGTTAAATGATATGAATATGACCTCTGTCACTACTATTAAGTCATCCCTGTAATAAATATGAAGCCGTTTTGTCGTCTTCTTGGTGAAGACTTCCTTGCTTCTTGTGCAAATAGCAGTTAAATGAGGAGGTGAGCATAGGCACCAGCATCAACTACCTCTCTTACCACAATCCCACCAGGGAGCCTCGTCACACTGCTTCACTATCTGTACTGCGCTATTCAGAGTAAAAAGGCCAATTAACTACTCCTGCCTGGTACAGTTCCCACAGCACTTGGCACATTAACCACCAGGCTTGGTTTAATTACTTTTATCATTAGGTTTTAGGAATGCAGCTGTCTGCCAATTTGCACAAGTGCTATGGCACTGGAAATGAGAAAATGTATAAAATGCAGTAGCTGTCACTTGAAATGAACCAAAATAGAATAGCTTCACATATCTGCCCTGTAAACCCCGAGCACTGTGTTTGAGAGAGGAATCAGTGATTTCATTTGTATGCCCCTTACTTTAATAACTTTTTGTTGACTTGTCTATTTAAGAGAAAAATCATCAGAACACCATCCAGGTACCTGTCTGCTCAGATTGAGATCTTATTTTGCAGCACACCTACACCTTTCATTGGCTCGATTCCCTCGATATCATTTTTTTTGTAGTTCAGATCTATCTTCAATGTAATTTTTTTTTGGGTGGGGAGAAATTGTAAATGCTGATTGAAATAAACTACTACTACTCATAGGCAGACATCTTTGTTTTGGCTAGACACAAGTGTGGGGTTTAATCTTTAATGAAACTAACATCATGGTGTTGGCCCTATGAAATGTAAGCTATAGTACAAGTTAGATATCATGTCCCCTTGTGGGTTAACATCTGCACTCTGGCAGCCTGCCAGCTGCTGGCAATCGAACATGGACACAGACACACCCTTCCACTTGGCCAAGAAGAAAAAATATGAATTTGATATTTCCCCAAAAAACGTTTTCATCCTTTTAATTACCAAAAACTTGGCTTCACAAAGGGATGACAAAAATGTATTTTAGTTTGGTTCCAAATTCTATCTTTCTCTCTAGCTTTGAATCCCCACAAAAGAATCCGCAAAAGCTTTGTGTATTATTTTAAGTGTCAACCACAACCACTGTACATACAGTCATTCTGATTGCAAATCATGGAGGAATTCTACTAGTGTTGAATGTCTGGTTTCCTGTGATGAATGAGGGTGGTGTACTCACAGGAGGGGTGCATGTAATGTCTGCAGGGTTGGGGTTGTGTTTGCGGCTGGGGTTGAGCCACCATGGACGAGCTGAACGAGTCCACCACAGCTGGCTGACTGGGCCCTGGGGTGGCCTGGGAAACATAAGTAGGAGGCCGTGACGTGGAGCCTGGGCAGCATGGGTCAAAGGCTGAGTTGCTGCCATGGAAACTAGCCCCACTGTTTCCAGTAGAACGAATACTGCTGTTGCTCAGGTCCACTGGCAGAGTTTGCTGTGGTAGGAAGGTGGAGTTGATATTGAAAAAAGGACAAACCACTCCTGTTAAATACTAAATGAGTCTTCCTTTGAGAGCCTTGTTTCTCAGGTGTACAATAAAGTCAAATACAGTTTATTAGAGTTAATCACAATTTATACACAATTCAAACAATAAACCTAGTCCAAGGACTTCTTTGCACTGTTTTTCAAGTTTTCTCTCTTGCTTAAAGAGTATATTTAGAGGAAGAGGAATGTTTGTTTTCTCTCAAGACAGAGAGCTCATCTTGATTAGAGACAAGTGTTGGACAATGACCTACATATGTAATGTGTGGGTGATGTATAGTAAACCCTTTACAAAGCAGAGGAGCAATATAGCTCAGTTTAAGTCGTTGCAATACCTCAGTCCAATAATTTTCTTACAACAGTACTGAAATTAGCTCTTTAAGCTTCTTTAACTCTTAGGACACAACTACAAAGAACATGATGTCAAAGGACATCCTTTTATAACCGACAGAGCAGTTATTTAAAAACAGCTGTTTAACTGCACTGTGTTGGTAAAGAAAGCAGCATGGGCATACCTGGTCATGGTAGTGGCCTGCGTTGCTACTACTGTTGTTCGTGCTGCTGCTGACTACAGCGCAGGGGGCGGGCAAAGCAGTCGGTCGCTCCACGGGGCAGCTCGGCTCTTGGAAGGGCAGGGTGCCGGGGGGCTGTGGTGCTGGGTGATGAACATGGTGGATGAAGTGGTGAGCGCTGCTGTGGCTATGGCTGTGAGCATGGCTGTGCTGAGTGCCACCGGTCTGCTGAGACGACGACGCCTGCAGGCAGCTCGAATGGGAGTGGCTGAGGGACACGTGACCAGGGGAAGGACCCCCACATGGGGAGTGCTGCTGACAGCAGGACGGTAGCCTGGGCATGGCCGTGCCTGTGTTGTCACCAGCTGTGCCTGACAAACCCTGTCTGCTGTCATCTGATGGGAAAAGGAAATGTGATTGGAAAAAATAAAGGTCAATAATAATAAAAAGTAATGAAAGTGACCTACGGCGACTTCATGATATTTTTTAATACCATGGTGACTACTGAATTAAACATTGTACACTGAACATATCAACATTATACTGTATGTGTGATATCAGCACCTGACAGACAGTATTCTGAGACCAAAGCTGTCTCCAAGCAAAGAAGTTGAAAAGTATTAAAACCGGATTAAGAACATAACTAACACCTTCAAACTGCTAAAATCAAAACATGTCAGACATGTAATGATGCTAAACAAACACGTTTTAATGCTAATGGAGATTCAATGTGATTCAAAGTTTCTTGGAGGAGGTTCTTGACATTGTTTGTCTTTCCATATAAATGAGGAGCCATTGTTTGCCAGATTTGTGCATTCTGGATATTTATCCAAGAAAATTATATCACTTAAGAGATTGACTGTTCAGACGCGCTCTCATTTCATGCAATCTGAGAAATAAATAGCTATAGGGTAGAAACATGTGAACATACCAAGCATATAATATATTAAATATTTGCAAAACAACATTTAAAAACCTAAATAAATATATTGTTTAAAAATAAATAAAACAAAAGTCTTACCCTCTGTGGCTGTGCGAGAAGAACCACTTGGCCTCTGTGCGTGCATACTTTCAGGTATAGAGCCTGGGCAGCTAGAGGAAGGGCCTGGGGCATCATTGAGCTCTGAGGTAGAGGCATGATGGGAAGATGATGATGATGACGACCTAACTGTTTGAGGGTGAATGCTGCCAGAGGTCGTTGGCACAACTGAGAGATCTGTTGAGAAAAAAAAAGTCAGGGAATCTATTAGAGAAAAGGTAGATAAGTGACAACTGTTTTTATTTACTCTTTACATCATTTACATATGTTTATTTATATATTTTTGTAAATTCATTTATAAATTGATCAAGACTTGTGCAGTTTTAGAACATATAGATATATACCAGTTTTTACTTGAAGATTAAAATGCATGACTTTTACGAGTCATGTGACCACACTAAATCCAGCTCAAATAAAGTTGACAGTCTCTCTCTCTGGAAAGACAGATCTTTGATTGAACTGCAGCGGGTATGTACTTATTAGCATACCAGTTTGTGAGATCCACCTGCTTTTCATACTCAAATTAATTTCCCCATATTTTCCCTTAGAAAGGAAAATGGTCTTATACACAGTTCTAGACAATTTATGGGTATAGTAACAAAATGTCACTGTTAATAATTGAACACTGCTTGTGACTGATTGTAATAATTGTTTATGATTAAAAGAAATGCTTGTGGTGTTACTGTGTCTTTATGTCACTGATTAATGTCCAAACAGAAACACTTCATTCTTATCACTTAGTGGTTAATAGATGCCCATTCAAGTTCAAATACACTATATAGTAAAAAACATTATTATTAAACTAGTTGATTCAAAAATACAAATGTGCTTTGTTGTCAGGACATTTTTTTTATTTTTATCTAACTGCTAAAATCATTTTTAACTAGCTTTCTGATGTCTGTGTGTTTGATACACCAAACTTCGCATCGTCTTGAAAGGGGATCTACTGAAGATTCAGCAGTAAGGTGAAAAGAAGAAAGCTCCACGTCAATGTGAAGCATCAGAGACAAAGTTTCTAAGCTGACACCCCGTAGTGGGAAAATTGTATTCATCCAACTGTATATATTAGGAGCGAGTATCAAACTTAACTTAAATAAAACATTTCATCCTAAAAAATCTGAGAACAGGGATAACAGATTGATAAAAATTATGATATCAACAGATTCCACCTGAGAAATGGCAGACAGCCTGAAAAGTTTGAACTGTGTTCCTAATGTTTGGTCTCACCATCTTCATCCACAGTGAGGTCCACCACCTCCCCAGCATTCTGACGCAGCGGTTGGATGACGGTGGAGAGTCTGTGACGTCCTCGTGTCTCCTGCAGACGATTTTGGGAGCAACTACTGGCCCAAATCCTCCCAAGACCTCCTACTGAGCGTGACCTGTAGACATAGAGACATTAAAGAAAAACTATTAAAGCCAACTCGAGTACAGATTGCCTATCTCGCCAGGAACATTCTCACAACTCAGTGAAGCATTTGCTTTGCTAAAGCCAGACTCTTTATCTCATTTCCAGGAGAACTGATGTTGTGACAAAAGGCAGCTGGTGCAAACATAGCCAGAAAGCAACTGTCTACAGTTCATCTGAGATCTGGACTTGCTTCTTCATGTTCACACTTTTTACTGTAGTCTTTAGCAAAACTCTTAACAAAAACAGCAACCCCTCCCCCCCCCCAAAAAACCCAGCATTGACGTAAGTCCTAGCCCTGAAAAACTATATATGACCCATCTTGTTTTTTTACTATTATTCCAGGGTCCAAGCTCTGGCACACTCAAGTTTACAATTCTGCCTTCATAATCTCAACAAATCATTTTTGTTTATGACAGGCATAAAATGCTCATGATAAAAGCTTTTGGAGATTGATTTTTTGCAAGAGAGTAGGCTGGGGTGATAATTAAAGTAGATCTGGACAACACTGGAAAAATAGATATTGTGAAATCTTTTCTTTCTGCGATATATACTGCAATCAGAAAAAATACCGGAACTTTTCTAAATAAATGCAGTGAGGTTATGGAGGCTATTAAGATTTGTATCATGCAGTCATAGTTTCATTATTCAATACCAAAGTGAAAGTCTATTTTAATCCTAGGCCTTCATAATATGACTAATAAAATCTGATTAACATTGCTCAATATTGGGATGAGGCTATGAAGTGTGATAAATGTACCGTATTAGCTATAGCTATTTGCAAAACAGAAAAAAAAAAAACAAGAATTTTGCGATAAACCCAGACTTTTGCAATTTGTTTATTGTGAAGGCTCATGTGATTTATTCTGTAGCCCTAAAATGAAGTGTTATCATCCACCATCATGCAGTCAGTTTGGTTTTGGGAGCCTGCAAGGGGAATTATCCCAGATAATTATCTCAAACAATATGAACATTGAAATGAAAACTTAAGCTATGCACAGTAGGTTACAATAGTCTAAGCCAAGATACTCCAAGTCAAGATATTTCTATTTTTAGTTTGTTTTATATGTAAAAACTTACAGATGACAAAATCAGCTTACGATTAGATTTTTAGAAATTAATTTGAGTCTGTCTTAGTGTTTGGTGGGTCCTTATTATTTATTAATAAACAGAAAAGCAAGGATTCACTAGTGGCATAGACCTTCAAGTTAGTGAAAAGCTCATATCTTGGAATTATTTCATGATGTCAAAAAGGGGTAGAGGTAAGGTGAAAAGTCCTATGTTAAAAAAAGAATAAGGCTACCAGTATGAGGCTCAAGACTGTAATCATCCTTTCCCCTGTATCTTGTATGAGTTCTCTATACCTATCATATCCTGCCCTGCCTTCAGCCCTCCCCCTTTTATTCTTTTTTAATTTTCTCTCTCAAAGGCTCCTGTTGCTCTACCCTTCGCTCTGAGAGACTGGAGTGAGAGGCCAGGGAATAACTGCATTTGCCCCCACAGTGCCGTAAAGTCATGCGTTCAGAGGGAGGAGGGATGAGCCTGAGGGACAAGAGACTAGAGACCATACGGGAGTGCCGTAAAGCTGGATACCATGGAGCTTTGTGGCAGGGGGATTTCACTGCTGTTCCCTGGGACTATATACAAATGCACAGGAGAGCAGAGGGAGAGGGCTGTATTTTGAGTGCCAAAATCACTGCCCTGTTAACCACAGCTTCATGTGTATAACTAAATCATTAACAAGCATAGTGATTCTTGATAAATAAGTTTATATGTGGTGTGCTAACTTTTTTACAAGATTGTTGAACTTTCTGCAGACCACAGTCAGACAGATGGGTGAATAAAACCCTTTTCACACATACAGAAATCTCCTGAAAAACTCCAGAGATTTGGCTACCCGAAAGTGCTTTAGGCTATGTGTGAACGTGAACAGCCAAATTTTTTGCACGGTCTTTACCCGGAGTTTCTCCGGCCAGACCCCTAGTATTTTTTCTGCAGAAAATCTCAGTGAGCTGATGTCTGAACGCGGCAGCATATACTCCGGAGATTTCAACTCGAGCCAATAGAAAGAGAACGACGTTCATATACAGTGACTGCCTAAAGTGTCTGCACGCGACCTCTACGATCTCCGTGCACGTTATTAAACGGCATTGTCATTACATTGGATTACACATAGCATTGATATAAAGGCAAATATGCTCATTACAACGCTGTGTAGCGGACTCTGTTGCTTCTGCCGCTACTTCCGCGTTGTTTATTTACGTCACGTCTTACCTCAGGAAATACCCCGATCCCCCTCCCCTCTGACAGGGATAGTCCCCCACTGTGAGGAGCATATGTGAACGGCTAGGTCGGGAGAATCTCCGGAGCGGTCCTCCTATAATTATCTAGATATTATCCAGAGTGCATATGTGAAAACGCCTTATGAAACTCCAAACTGGCTCCGGCTGTCATTGAATATGCAACATATTGTGTCTCTCTTTGTGACAGCATTGTGGCTGACTGGCAACTTGTTAGGGTATTTCCCCTGCCTGTCAAACAAATACAGGCTACAGATCATTACGCAGAACAAGCGTACAGAAGGTACAGAGAGGAATAGACTGATAGAAAATCAAGCACTTTATAAAGTTTTAAATAAAAGGAAATACAGGAAAATAAATTATCCATAGCTCTGTTTTTGTCCTACATTATTTCTGCTAGGATCAAAAGCTTGATCTCCTTTTTCAAAACTATTTCAACTTCAATTATCAAAAATATTGAACAAAACATTTTCAAGACTAAGCTGGTGATGATCATGTGTGAGTAGATGTTACTCCAAGAGGCTTTTAAATAAAAATATTGTACATAGGTGGGGATACAATAGTTTATAATGTTATTAACTGGTTAAATGGTTGATTATTTGTCATTCAGAATGCTACATGCTGGAAATCATTCAGCAGATTATAGAGATGTGTGTAAATGTACGAAATATCTTTCTTGTCCCAGTATATGATAGGGGGGATTCCCTCTAGCTCATACTGTCCTGTGAGACATGCTGCACAATGCAAGTGAAATGACGGAGGACGCAGCACAACTCTAAAACTGCACAAACTGCTCTAACAAACTTGTGCTCATATATTTAAGAATACAAATAGACACACGTGTGACTTCCCTTAAAACACAAATCAACAGGGGTGGTAGTAGAGGGAGACACATGGGCGTGAGGGAGTCGTCTTGATTTCTAATTGGACGGGCTCCTCAGCTCCAGGTTGACACCAGGGAGCAGGGTTCGCTCCCAGGGAGGAGTTCCTAATTAAGTAGACCTGGGATTATTTTGTAAATATCTGTTTACCACCATGCCCCCCTGAGGGTGGGGGGTGGTAGCTGAGAGGAAAACAGTACATTGTAAACATGAACACTATGGGAATGGGTTTCTTGGCAAAGATCAGGTTTTGCCAAGGTGATGTGAGGCAGGCACCCCGGGGATCCAGAGAAGGCTGAGCAGTGAACATAGAGTACAGTGATGTGCATGTTGTTAAAGGGAATGACTAATGCAAGGCAGGAGTTTGGAGAAGCACTTGCTAAGAGGAGAAAACAATTTGCTCATCATCAAGATTAAAACTGGCTGAAGGCAGCATCAAGTTTGTCGCCACAACTAAGGATATGATGATGTCACTTTTTAACTCTGGACCATTAGAAGGAAAATAGCTGACATAAGTACTGATCTGATGCTTAACTCTTTAACTAACAAGAGGAAGATATATCATTCTAAGTCTGAAACTGTATCACAAATTTTGACAAAGCTATATAACCCATACAAGTGCTAGATAAAAAAAATACATGAAATAACCTCCCAAAAGAATTAGGATAAAATTATCTGAGGATAGATCAAAAGATACAAAGAAAATGTTAGCATAATGTGCAAAGATTTTTTTTGTTCAAGGCCACATTTTCTGTCTTGACCATTTGGCTTAAAGCAGGTAAGACTTATTAGCATAAGCTCAGTGGAGCTGGTTACTTTTTTAGGTTGATCAGTATAGCAAGACAAGAACGTTTTATATCCATTGTTTTTAGCTTTCTCAAACACAGACTCAACATTACTTACGGATACTATCAATACTATCACTTACAAGACGGTATGTACAGTATGTTACATTCAGAGATATTAAGTTACATTGTAGAATTTGTGTGACTCCACTACTTTCATGTCCATAGTTGATGTGCAGAATGACTGCAGGGCCTAATCAAAGCCTTTTTTAAATGATCACATCAGCTTCACAATCCTTTTGTATTGTAACTCACTGTATTCTGCTTAACACGCCACACTGAGCACTGTTAAAGCACTGGAATGTTCTCCTGATGCAACGCTCCACTAGTGAGCTAACGGTGGAGGAACACAAACAAGTAAAATACAGATAGCAGTTTAAATTAAATAAATTTGTGCTGACTGCATGTCACTGAGCTGTAGAGAAGGAGCTGGTTTGGGTTTAAACTGACGGAAGTGGCCAAATATTAGTAACGTCTTGCACCATGACTCTGCTGTTTTCATTGGGTGGATAATAGTTTAATTTAGTTGTCCCGTAAAACTCAGTGTAAATGTGAATGTGTGTTTTTGTGCATCATAAGTAAGACCACTGACAGTGTAAACAAAGCGTTCATTGCTCATTCTGTTGGCTTTTGATTCCCGCCCTGTTGCTCCCCTGCTGCCCCCTGCTGCCCCCCTGCTGCCCTTCCCCCCCTCAGGGAAGCTCATCCCCACATTCTCTAGCGAGCCAGGACATCTTTGAAAGTCAGAAAAACAGGCAGATTGGACAAGCCACAGCATTCCAAACTTCACTTCTAGGGACTATAGAAAAGCTTCTCAGGCCACATTAATGTAGAGTTGGTAAAAAGCAATGACACAGTGTGGAACAGAGATACAGTTAGAAAAGAGGCAGAGGTTTATGAATCAAAGTGCATAATCACCTATATGAGGAATTAGATGAGTATTGTTATGACAATAAGGAAATAAGATTCTCAGTGGGTGAGGAAAAAAGGAGTAAGCAACAGACTAGACTGAGGGATTATCTTTTGGAAATGTCCTGCTTTACTTTGTAAATATTTAGCAGTTTACGAGTTACAGATGGCCAATGGCCATGTTTAAATCATCCACAATTTAATGCCCCTAAATATTTACAAAGTATAATGAACTATATCCTGACCATAGAGATTGGTGGAAGCAGAAAAAGGAAAGGGGGAGTCTAGGGGTTCCCCCCAGAACATTTTTAGCACCGAACATTTCTCTTTCTGCATTCTGATCATTTATATGCACAACTGTGTAGCTTTTCTGTACCAAAGTCTTTCAATGTACATCAGGCACATTCTCACATCAATGATAAATGCATTCATTTGAATATGTTGATTAACATATGGACTTCAAGACTTCTTGATTTAATCTTGTGGGTTAACATTGGAGTTCTGAATTTTGGTTTAATCAGGAAGAATCACATTGCTGATGTTAACAACATTTCTAGTAAATGGGCCATTGCAATATCAGTTTATTTGTTTTGGAGCTTTTTTAAATAATAAATATCAAATGTATTTCAGTAGTCATCATGAGTGTTAATGGCCAATAAATAAACTCGTAGTGGCAACTTGGGGTGTACAATAAACCGGTATTGGTACACTCACCGAGTTACATACTGCTACTACGTAGTTTTTTGCCATACCGTCATCACTGGTTTAAACACGTTGGCTTGTAATGCACACACGAGGCAAGGCCACACCGATTGCTCAGCCTACCAGCCACAGTGATGGGTAAAATAAACTGCGTAAAATGGTAATTTGTGGCAGACAACAGCTAAGATTCCCACGGTCTTCTGCATGTTTCACTCTGACAATAAACCAAACAGGCTTCTTTGAGGGGGAGACAAAATGTGTTAATTTGCTCAATCTATTTTAATACTGTAATACCATGATAAAATACCATTACCAAACAAAGCAAAAGCAGATACCATGGTATGACTCTGAAGTCATATCGCCCACCTCTAGTGGCAACATGTTTGGTTTTAAATTTGTGAGTGGCTTAATGAAAAGACCCTTTGACCTGTTCAATTGACTATTTGTGCACCTTGTTTTTGGGCGGCCTTGTTTTCTAGGCTATCAATCACATGAGCAGTAAGCTTCATGTTTGCCCCTTACTGTAAAAAGAAATCAAATGGGCACTAAGTAAGGTAGAGGTGGTTTTGCTTTGAAATAGCATGCAGTTTGCTTTCTCTGGCCAGTATGAGCTTTACAATTCACAAGAAAAGTAAATCCACTGTATCACTCACTACACTGCACCCCACCCACCCACTTCTTCCATTTTAAGAACTCTATGTACCACTGAACCAGCTGGTGAACTAAATTTGAACCACAAACATAATTTGTCTTCATGCACACAAGCTCTTTAATGTCAAAGCCAATGAAAAAAAAACATACTTGCTCATTATTTAAAGGCTTGCTGAAAAAGTTGTTGTGCCTACCTGAAACCATCTCCGACTGTGACGATCTCCACCTCACTGTCAGTTGACGTGACATTGATCTCCTCGCTTGCAGGGACAGTTGGAGCAGGAGCTGGAGTGGCCTCAATCACCACGACATCCTCGTCCAGAGCACCTGAGCACACCAGTTCAACTAATTAAAGCACTGATACACCCATTGTAATCAGAACAAAGCAAAGACATCATCCAATTACACTTGAATTAATAGGGAAGACTTAAAATGATTTTTTTTGTTGTTGTTTTGATCATTTTCTCAAAAAAACTCAAGAGGAAAAACCTTTAAGCACCTATAAGAACACCAGCCATTTTTGTGTTTCTTCAAAAATGCAAAGCACTCCGTGGTATGTTTCTATACCAAAACTAACTTCAAAAATATTTTTTCTCAAGTTCAATCGAGATCATCTTCTCTTTCCTAGTCTCCCTGCTGTTGTATTTTGCTGTGCTCCCTATTTTATCAATAGCAAAATCTAAAAATAAGATAAAGGTGATATTGACTGATATTAGTTTTTCTTCAGTTTCAGCATGGTTACAGCAATATCAGTCTAACAGGCTAACAGTTCAACAGTAGAAATGTAGGTCACCAGTGCTCCACTCAGTTTGCACTAGAATCATTTTTTCCTCAACCTTTCTAAATCTGCCCTTTGAGAATATTTCTCACACACAACAGATCGCTCTTCATCTCTGCCTGAATTAAAAACCATGAAAAAAGCTTTTCTCACTTAGAGATCAGAATGAAGATAGTGGTTGTAGTAAATAACAACACAAGTAAGGATATACTGTAGAAAGGAGGAAGCAGGGTCAGTTAGTGCAAACAAACAGCTTCAAGTCCGATCACTTTTTAAAATTAAATAAGGTTAATATACCGTCATCAACAACATCAACAGCTCTTCTTGAAAATCTAATAAGCATCAAAACCATCCTTAATATCGTCAAGTGTGTAGGTGCTCATGAAAGAACTGGGTCTTTAGCTTTCTCTTAAAGGTGCAAAGGGACTTGATGCAGATCGAATGGAGCTTGGTAGTGTGTTCCACCACCGGGGGCTGACAGAGGAGAAGAGTCTAGCTAGAGACTTATGACCCTGTAGTGAATGTTGGATCAGGCATTTATGCAGAGTGTGTTTGGGGGGAGGGAGTGTAGACAAGGAGGAAAGAGGTAAGGTAAGGAGGAGCTGTTTTTGTCACTGTTTTGTACTTGAGCAGCAGGGTTTGAATTTGATGGGGGCAGTAACTGGAAGCCAGTGGTGGGAGATGAACAGCGGAGTGACTTGTGCTGTTTTGGGTAATTTGAAGGCCAGTCTCGCTGCTACGTTTTGGATCATCTGCAGGGGTTTGATAGTACATGCAGGAAGACTAGCCAGTGAGGAGTTGCAATAGTTAATGCGTGATATCACAAGAGTCTGAACCAGGAGCTGTGAGGCATGCTCTGACAGGTAAGGTCTGATCTTCCTGATGTTGTACAGGGCAAATCAACAACAGGACCAGTGTTTCCCCTAGGTTTACAGCATGGGGGGGACGACGACGACACACAGACACAAACACTTGTTGTTCATGGGTTACTTTTAATGACAGCTGTCCTTTTCTATCAGAAAGGTATCCTTAAATTACTTCTTTCCCTGATTTCTCCCGACCTAGCCGTTCACATATGCTCCTCACAGCTGGAGACTTTCCCTGTAAGAGGGGACGGGGATCGAGGGATTTCCTGAGGTAAGACGTGACGTAAATAAACAACACGGAAGTAGCGGCCGAGGCAACGGAGTCCGCTACACGACGTCATAATGAGAATATTTGCCTTTATATCAATGCTATGTGTAATCCAATGGAATGACAACATTCACAGAGTGGAGAACAACATACTGACAAACAGAAAACATAATGCAGCTGTTTAATTACGTGCACAGAGATCGTAGAGGTCACGTGCAGACACTTTAGGCAGTCACTGTATATAAACGTCATTCTCTTTCCATTGGCTCGAGTTGAAATCTCCGGAGTATATGCTGCCGCGCTCAGACATCCACTCATTCGGAATTTCTGCGGAAAAAATACTAGGGGTCTGGCCAGAGAAACACTGTGTAAAGACTGCGCGAAAAATGCGGCTGTTCGCGTTCACATATAGCCTAAAGCACCTCCGGGTAGCCAAATCTCCAGAGTTGTTCAGGAGATTTCTGTATGTGTGAAAAGGGTTTGTGTGTTATTCCTCCCACAACACACATACAGAGCATAGTTCTGCTATGCACTGCTTAAAAACCGGTTCTAGATATTGTTAACTAATCTGAGGCTAATGCATGATTCTCACTCCTCAACTTTCTTGCTGGAGCTACTGCTGGAAATGATAGCCATGACTGATCAAATAAATTCTGTGTTGTGCTTTCTGTGTTGTCCATACAGATTTATATACAAGTAAAGGGTCCAACTGTCACCTGGTGCAAAGTGACTCATAATGCAGCTAACTGTCATTGCTTCTTTCTGACTGAAGCAGTGGTAGTCTTTTCACTCAGTGTACTAGCAATGACCTGTTTGCCCGTGGATGGGTTAGTCTTACATTGAGGTGTGTTCATCCGCATTGTTGATACATTTATATCTTTAGGGAGCGGAAAACAGTCCATAATCAGAAAGTAAGACGCACTAATTGTAGCTTTGCACACAACTGAGCCGAAGAGCTTGTGTGTTGTATCAGCTCCCCATACACATTGTGGTGGACAAATAAAAGCTAAATGATTGAAACACACAACTAACTATTCAACGCTTGAGTAAACATGACATTCAGATACTTCTTTGTTATCACAGCAATTTCAAAGGCTTGTACAACTTATTTGGCAATAGATAGTGACTTAACAGTTACTTATCATAACATGTTATCATTTTAGTTGAAGCTCAGGAATACTTGTTAATTTAGTCCACACAAGTGATAGACATAATATATACCATTTAGTTAGAGACATTATGTTCTTTATACTTCCAGCCTCACGCCTGTTTCTAAGTATTGTTACAATGTCTTGGTGTAAGAGAGAGATGCTGAGTCATACATCTGATGTGCGAGTCAAAGATACAATTTATCTCTGACATTCTTACTCAACAACTTTTATGGAAGACAGTAGACACCAACTCAATCATTTCAGCATCAATTCACACATTTCAATTGATACTGAAGGACATGATCAGGGATGGATCTGTTTAGATTCAAAGGTGGAAAAACAGCAGGCAAAGGCTGTTTTTTTTAATGCTGCAGTAGTGCAATGTACTCTGTTTCTTTGCACATCACTTAGTGACCTGCTAACTCCCCAGCGTGATTTCTATTGCAATTGTCTCTTGAGAACTGCTGCTAAGCACCCTGTGCATGTAGCTGCTTTGCGTCTCTTGAAACCTTCAGGTTGTTACACAAACGAGGCCAGGGTAAGCAATACATAGAGCTGCTGTTTGTAATATAACTATATAACAAAGAATGGAAGAAAAGTGATAACATCCAGGACTCTAGTCCAGGTAGCCTTCTGATCAGTAGGTTGTAAGAGGACATTCAATATGCTTGAGATCAAACCGTGGAATATGTTTGATCATGGCTTTATATGACATGATTTGTGTCATTACTAGATTTGTGCATCATAACTTAAAAACAATCAATGTATGAAATGCCTTTAAGTGAGTTTAGTTATTGTCCCTTTATATGTAATATCATCTGTTGGCCTGAGGTTAAAGGAAATGGTTATATTGTTTGCTGGCTACATCACACACCTGCTCCAAACTGAGGGCATCTACAAAGCAGGTTTCATCACTTGCCTTCCCCAGCTGTAAACAAATGCTCTGTTTTCCCTCTGAGACCTTCTGTCTCTATGCAAAGGATGCAAGTCCACAGTGTCTGAATTTTCTCCCACCTGCTTCTTACCATGGAGGCACAACAACTAACTTTCCATTCTCTCAGAGGGCCAAAGCAGCAGGAATTCTGCAGAGGCTAAATGACTACATCAAGAAAACACTGAAGCAAGTGCAGCCTTTCTTAAATGATATACTGGCTAAAATTGCATGGACCCCTCATTTTCCAATTGTGATTAGTTTAAAAGCCATAATGAAAACTTCAGGATATCACAATAAAGCACAAACCCAAATTTATATATATATATATATATATATATCCTAGTAAGATTTTAGCAGCATATTTGCCCATGTAATCTATCTTAAATTTGTCTTCAAATTCATACTGCTTGCAGCATATCAGAAAGCTTTGGTTTTGAGTCAATGCTTCATAAACCTGGTGTTCCAAAAGGTACAAAGGTGTTTAGTTTCCATTACAGCCTGCCAGGTGATTGGCTTTGAAAAATAGAGTTTACTGGCAATTCCATTATCAGCTTGCCTCAGCCTTTACAAAAACATACTAGTCTCATGTATGTTAGAAATATATCATGTTTATCAAAAATGAAGTCGATGCTTTAGTTCAGACAATTTCTTACTCAATATGTTCAGGACCTGGGGCATGTTAGAAAAGCAACAGGCTGTTGTGTGAAATGGGGGGTAAGAGATGTTTGTGTTGTCAGTTCTGCCAAACACAACACAATGTTAGTCCTCTGCTCACTTCCCTCTGGCTAAGAGCCAGAATGAAATCACCTGGTGTGGAATGACAACATGTGTACTCCTATCCTGTTTTGCACACTGTAAGACAAGTTACAAAATCGCAAGTATAATATAGCTGATTTTTTTCTGACTATGGAACAGGAAATGGAGGTTTTCAGTTTAAGAGCTAGATAAATTGTTAAAATATATGCCAATAAAGGTTGTAAAAAACATACAACACACGTGCACACACAATGAAAAAAACCCTTTTTAAAATAAAAAACGTAGGTAAAGCTTCCAATGCAAATATCACAACACAAGATGACCTCTTCTCAAACACTAGCCATTTCTGTTTTTTAGTTCTGCTATCAGTGCATAGGAATTCACGTTGCATCAATGAACTTCAATTAAAATATGTTAATTCATGCTGAATTGGGAGTTTTCTGCAGCGTGAGAGGTCCTGGTGCTTGTGAGATTCATGACACATAATTCCAGAGCTCCACTTTATAACTTGCCTGAACGTAGTCTGGGCCGAGCGACATTGTGCTGTTACTCAGGCCAGATAAAATATCGCCTTAAAAATAAAAAAGGAACAATACTGGTGTTTGGTCAGAAGCCCTTTTTATTGGACTGTCGTTTCAAGCCGCGATATTTGCAACCTTGTGACATTTCGCCATCAAACTGAATATCGCAGAGGCGTGGGGAGATTGAGTGATCCCTCCTCTGTAGCGGCTTTGGAGGTAGTAACAGAAGCGTTCACAGAGGCGAGGCGTATCGGCGGAGCCAGCACGGAGAGCGTTTGCATATTTGACTTTGTGTGTATGAGGAGCTCCAGCCGCACCGTGCTCCCACAACGTCGAAACACAATGTGAATAATTCACAGACTGGGATACCAATATTACGCCGTCGTGAAATTAAATTGATATGAATGTACAAAGTCGTCATGACGGCTAAATTTATCTTTCTCTTATAAATATAAGTTTTTTATATATATATATATATATATATATATATATATATATATATATACACATAATATTTCTAAAAAAACATTGATCTAACAACCCAATCACATATGCAGTATTTGTTTTTATCCTGGAACATTATATTCATTATGGGCACTGTAACAGTAATTTATGTTCAGAGTATCTCTTTGCAGGCACTGTCAGTAAATTCGTGGGGAAATTCTTGTACAGAACCGTTTTGAATAAAAAGTACCCTAAAGTACCAAAGTCTCAGTCTGCTGTGCAACACTAGTAGCATGTTTTATAAGCCTTGCTTGTTGGTTTACATTGTAAACCCCATATGATAAAGCCTTGATAGCATACATCATGCTGTAAAACACCATGTTAGATTAGACACTGAGATATTGCAATACAAGGATTCAACCTCAACAGAGTAGTGGATTATAATTACCTGTAGCAACACTAGCACTGTTGGGCTGGCTGTTGGTGCTGCTGACATCTACATACAGCTCATCTTCAGCCTCAGTAGAGGAGGGGGAGGACGAGTCACCACTCAGCTCATCACTGGAACTACTGGTGCTATGGAGCAGAGCGTACTTCCTACGAGCAATAACTTCACGTTTCTTTCTCTGCAGTAGTAGTCTCTCCTTTTGCTTCTGAGTCCGCTGACCCCCACCAGGAGCTGCTTTTACAAATCGTTTCCTATGCAGAGGGCGCCTGCTGCTCAGACATGGCCGCTTCAACAGGACTGGTTCTGCCTCTGTCCGCACCCACTTATGAGAGCGACTTCCCCGAGTTCGACCCAGAATAGGGCGCAAGCCAACTCCAGCAGCTCCTGTTGTCAGGGCAGGAGCCTTGTCTTGGCCCCCTGTTGCTTCAGCCTCCCCCTCATCCTCTGAGCTAAGAGTGTCCGAGTCACCAAATCGCAGGCTAGAGGAAGGGGAGGAAGCACAGTCACTAAAAGATGACTCATGATTATGTTCATCCTCACTGGGGTTTTGTAAAAGTTCCACCCGGGGACGCTGAGGGGCCAGTGAACTCTCACTAATGTGGCCCTCTTTCAGCGAGCAGTCTGAAGGCCCTGCCTGTTGTCCCTTTCTTTTTCTGCGACCAGGAAGGCTCCGTTCTGAGTCTCTGTGTGTTCCTGTGTCCCTCAAAGGCAGATGCCGGGACTCACAAAGGGTTTCAAATTCACTGCCAGCCTTTCCAATCATCTCCATGCTGTTTGGGAAGTTCTTGGCTGCCTCCATGGCCTCTGGGTTCCCCAGTGGCTCCTTCAAATGCTCCTGTCTGCTGGGGGCCTCAGAAGGCACCTCACTCTTCATGGTGGCAGGTGAGACTTCAAAGAGCAAACACTGAGGGCACTCGCATCGGATCCTAGGAGTCTATTCGCTGCATCTCCCAAAACCCTAAATAGAATAGGAAAAGAAAGAGGTTAATAGTGCACTAATCATTCCATAGCATGAGAGCCAAGTGCCCAAACATATCATCAGTAACCAGATTTGGATTTTCCAAGCGTTCATTAATATCAGGAAAAATGTTTTGCACAATTTCATATTGTGATCCTGTCTAGAGTGCTTTTTTGTCCTCTTCTGTGTCTACCTCTTTAACCGACTTCATCAGAAATAAATTACGTAAAGTCACCAAAACAACAAAACTCTGTTTTTTTTTTTTAGTTTCCCTCCTGAATATGTAATCGCAAGATGAGCCTTGTCTAGAGTTATTGTTGTTGTTATTAATGAAAGAGTAAAAACTAACAGAGTGCAAAATAACATCAGAAGAAACAAGCTATACAAAACAATAAGAACAGGGCCATAAGAAGGTTCATACACAACATGAGATGTTGCACCACAATAAATGTATTTATGAAGAGATGTAACAGTTCACATCTCTCTCTCTCTCTCTCTGAACTGACAACGTGCAGAGCATCAAACGGCTACAAGCAACATGACCTCAAGCGGTAAAGAGTGAGTGCAGATTGTCCACTAGTTCATCGATCTTAGATGGCAATCGTACGCTCAAAGAAAAAGAAAAACACAAAAATGGTTGGCAATATCCTTAGCTGGTCAAAAATAAACATTGGCCATCGACCCAGGTGTGGGGGACACTTATATGGATAATTTAAAGTCTTGAGGGTCAACTTTTCAGGTTTAAAAAAATCCAGAAAATGGCCCCAGATGTTGAAAATATCTTCATGAAAATCACATGACATGTCAATGACATTAGTTATTTCAGCCTTTGAGAAACAAAAAAAACCTTTAATATTACAGTTTTTTTTAATCGCATATTTGCTGTGCACTCAACATCACATTAGTCCTACAACAATACTTTGAGGGTTTACATTAAATACATTCACTCACTTACAGACATTGTGTGTGTGTGTGTGTGTTCAAAGATAGAACATGAGAACATACTGAGTCTAAAGTAAAGGCTGAGTCAATACTGAGGCGTTTTGTTTATAGCTGATTACAGCCAGTACATGAATCCAGCTAAATAAAGACAGGGTATCTCACATAAGACTGATTCTCATGTTTGTTTCATGACTGAGAAATTTCAGTCCATATCTTTGTGCCCCAACAACTAACTCTGGAGACAAAGTGACTCTTCACTCAGTGGGCACATTTTCATGGAAGCGTGAGGTCTCCCAGAGCAACGCCAAATTCCAGTAATGCCATAAAGGCTTCTGCCTTTATACAACAAAACGTTTGAATCTTTCTTGTAGACTCTTGTGCTGTGTATACCAAGTGAACTTGGTGTCTGATGTGCCTTAAACTGTTAAAACACTGGAGATGCTATTAATATTGTGAATTAAAGTTTATGCTACCTACTTCTGCTTTTATGAAAACTTTACTTTTTAAGGGGTATGTTCCCCTCCTCAGTTTCTTGTATGTCTTGGTGCAAAGTTGCTGTTTTTGTCCTATATATCTCCAATATGTCACTACGATCCCATCAAGACCAAGATATTGTGATATTTCTGCACGCTATGAAACACATTCAATGTTTTAATGGTTTTTATTTTACATGTGATGAACCCAGATCACACGGCCTTATAATACTCTGAGGATCTATAATAGATCAGGATAGCTAATAATAACACTCCCATTAAAAAATGCTCTGACCTGCTCCAATAATGATCCAGCAGGTCAATTTGGATACCCCAAACACAACACACACACACACACAGTGGTCCTGCAGCAGTAAAGGTAATTTGATTCCTACATTTCTTAAGCAGCAATGTAAGATTTGATCCCTTATACTTGCAGTGTTTTTGGGGGGGGACTGATTTCTTTTATTGTATGTCCATTAACCTCAAAGGGGTTTCCATATCTGCAGTGACATCAGTGACAAGCTGTGCTTTGTAGAAAACACACTCAGAATATTGAGGAGTGTGAAAAAATAATCACAGACTTGTGCACTACATGCAAGTGGTGATATCGCACACAGCAACAAGCCTGCCACACGTCTTAATATGATGTAATCTGAAAACAAGAAATCACGAAGCTACTATTCCAGCAAATGATTAAAGGAACAGATTGTCCCGACCCTGTATGTGTGGCCATCTTCGAAGTACAAGGGATGTACCACAAGACAAGAAAATAAAACAAAGATTTTGCTAGTCAATCCCATATTATTCACAATATTTAGAAATGTGGATTTCTTGCTTTGAATAACTATCTGCATCCAACTTCTGAATTGAAGACTTTTAACATACTTTAAGGCCAGATTATTACCAAATGCAACTCTCACATCGGCTTTTTACAAAACAGAACAGATCTACAACCTGAGTGTTCACTTCATATATCCCAAGCAGTAATAATGTAACACAACAACATTCCTTACGGTGTTTGCTGCAGGGTGATCTCATAGACTTCATTAGATTGTACAGGTGTCCATGGGGTTGCTGTATATTTCACTGCTTTAATTATGCTGTTAAAGTGATTTTACTTCATTATTCATTCTAATCTCATTATATCATATCATGCTGGTTGTCAGTTGACCTGGAGCAGCAGATGATGCCCGTGGCCTCTTTTCTTAGGAATCCAGTAAAATGTGAATATTGTGATCACATCATGTACAGCCAAAACTGCATTTCTGCTTTTATATATAATTCTCTAATAAGTGAGAGTCTTTGAGGTGCCATAGAAAGCTGCGCAATGACATGCATGTTCCAGGGGCCTCAGAGGACAGCCCTGGGGTGGAAAATCAAATGAATCATGGTAGAATAATGGAATAATGGGGGGGGAGAAATCTCATTAAGAGGAACAAACACTATATGTATAAGACACAGCAGAAACTTCCATAAGAAACAGTGACAGGAAATATGCAGTAACAATAATGACAACATTAAACCCATCCTAGATGTGCGACTGAAGCAGGACTGCTGAGCTGCTGCTAACGATACCTCCCCCCCCACCACCCCCCTGTGTTTTCTGTCCGTGAAACGACTATCAAGCAGTCTGACTGTGCATACAAAAACAAAGATTTCGGGGTTTATAATGCTTGACAGTATCCAGTCTGAAACTGAGTCTAAGCACACTTTTCAACAACGATTAGCAATTACAAAAAGCTCGACTGCTGTCAGCCTCGGTCCCACAAACGCAGCTAAAGTGACCAAGGCCAGAGAAACTCGTATTAATGGGCATCTGAAAGGCTTAACTATGCCTCGAAATTGTATACAACTTGTTTTAATTTATTTAAAAATAAAAAAAAGGGGGGGATAGCTAGCCACCTAGCCTGACACATACTACAGACAGAAGACAACAAAGACAAAACGTACCTGCGTCTAAGTCCTTATTTCCAAATGTGTCACCGTCCTTTTCGTAACATATGAGGTTTGAATCCTTTTTGGGGAAATGATGTCGAGCATGGAAAACGGGGCTGTTCTCTTAATGTTAAGCCTTACTGCAACTAGGCAGGCCTGGAAAAAAAAAAAGAAAACGCAACCAGAGTGCGTTAGCTGCTGGGATTGTGAAACTGACAACACAGTCCCGAGCTGATCCGAGAAGCAAAATCGAGGGCAAGCGGGCCCAGGATGGCTACGAGCTAAGCTAACATAAAGACTAGCTCCACTTCACTCATCAAACGCCGGGTTACACTCAGCCATTTTGACTCGCAAATTAACCCTATCGAGTCACAATAAGGCAGTGCGACCTCTCCGTTGTGTTTCTATTTGTCAAGATAAAAGTGTCTCACTATTATCCCTCGACGAAGGTGCCATTCCTGCCTTTCGAGGCATCCACTCTTGTTTACCCAGCAGGTCGTCTCTTCGCTGCTTGCAACACAGTAGTGGCTTTCATCGCCGCGCGAGGGCGCCAAATCGCTTCAAGCTATGACATATTTTACGACACTTTACGACACTTCACTGAATCACTTTTACATTTCCGAAGCAGTGTGTTGGAAAATAAATATTGATAGGACAAGAGGACACCCGCTTATCGTCCTGTTTGGTTTCGATAGGGGACCATGAGAAGCTCTGCTCATGCCTTTGTACATTAAATATTGTTTTAGGTATCCCTTTTCTTTTTTTTTTTCAACTTCTCTTTATTGTTTTTTTTTCTTTTTTTCAAATACAGATTAAAAAAAAAAATCATACCTCAGACCAACACAAAAAACTAAATAGATAAATAAAAAGATAAGATATAAAAAACATAAGTAAAAAACAAATATAATACCAAAATAATAAGATAAAAAGATTTAAATAGTAATAATAATACAACTTGGAGGATGTCTAGTGCTCTGGATTTTACTAAATTATTATTTTTTCCTGGGGTTGTTTTTGTTATAGTAGTCTATAAATGGCTGCCATATTGAGTAAAACATATTTATCCTTCCTCTCAGGGGAAATTTTATTTTTTCTAACCGCAAATGCTTCATTACATCATTCTAGGTATCACTTTTCTATACATCTATCGAAAGTACTAGAGCACTCTCTAGTGTTTTTCTTTTTTATTTACTCGTGGAAACCATAGGGACTGTAAATAAATATTAAGGTGGGAACGCAAAAAAAAAAAACCACCATACGATTCTCTATATGTTTGTGGGTGTAAGAATTTTCTGTATGATGATTTATGATTAATGCAACACTTGATTAATTCAGTGGAGCCTATTCTTATTAATAATCAAATGGCAACAAAATAAGGCAAATGATGGGCAAGGCACGTTTAGTCACAGTTTTAACATTCCTTACAAAATAAACAGTTTCAAAAAAGAAAGCAAGGCAAGGCAAGTTTATTTATATAACACATTTCAACAACAAGGCAATTCAAAGTGCTTCACACAAGACATCAAAAGCATCATGACAGAGGAAAGAAGCATAAACAATCCTATCAAGTGTGAATCACTCTTAATTATAACAATGTATACCTCTAAAAGCAGCACAGAAGTTTATGCATGTCAATTTTTTTTTCTCATTTATCATATTTGTTTGTGGCCAGGCAAAACAAACTACAATTACACCCATAAGATCATCATCTAGCCTACTGAAAATAATGGACCAGTTAGGTTTAGTTGGTTAGATGGCACCACTGCCTCATTTTAAAGAAACACAATACTACTAAGTTTTTGTAATTTTGTAAAATTCTCTTTTAAAAATCTGATTTTTAAGTGCATAAACAACCTTGCTCCAAAAACAATTTGTCAGCTGATAAACAAACCAAACAGTGAAATCAGAAGGAGGGCTACATCAGGTGGACTGTAGAGCACCTACATTCAGTCCTCACTGCTTCTCGAGTGCTTAAGCATTGGCTGTACTTCCTCTTATAGTCCTTATTTTAGTTTCTTATTTGTAATGCATCATAATGTCTGTATTTGTATATCACTCTATCTGTATTTCTTGAAGTCTCATACTTTTTGATCCTAAAATCAGGGACAGGGGTTGCAAACTAGCTCTGGCTAGAAACCAGTTTGCATGGCATCTACTTTGTAGTTTACATGCAAGCAATGTTCATTGTATGTGTCCTTGTTAAAAACATATATTAACAAATAAAGAAAATACTAATCCAGATTCCGACAAATTATTTGCTGAGATGTGAGAGATAGACACTAAATGGTTAAAGGCTGTAAATCAATCACATAAAAAGAATATGCATAAGCAGAAATAACTGTGCTTAAATCGAACATCTAAGTCAAAAATGAAAATTATTAACACAAGAGGTTTAGTTTATACAAATGCATATGATGAAGTTTTATAAGGAAAGAGTTGTGTTTACAGAAGTGTCTGTGTGGACAAAATTAAAGATCCATCACAACAGAAACATCTGGCCCAACAGCATTTTGATCAGCAGCATATAAAGGACACCATATTAAAAAGTCTTTTTTAAAGGAGGACTGCCAAAACAGCTATAGAGAGGACTGTAGAATAGGAGCAAAAAAAAAAAAACTACTGTTGCAGGTTCTTACGTAGCACACAAGTTTGTGTTACTAAAAAAAATGATGTGCTGGTGTGGTAATTGAATGGTTTGGATTTGACTAGATAAAGACCTTGGATTTCTTTAAGATGAAGGAAAGCAACAAAAAAAACAGTGTGTGAAGCAACAGCTGTTTACAAGTCAATCACTCAATCAATCTAAAGAAACTTAATTGATCCTCAACTGCCTGAAACCAGTCGAACACTCCCACAGCACTAAAGAGCTCTCTCTCTCTTAACGTGACGGTAACCTACCTCTATGCTCTAACAGCAATACCATACTGCTTTTAACTTTACAGAAAATCCACATAAATTAAATCAAATAACTCTAAATCTTAACTTATACAATGAAATCCCTAAAATAAAGATGAACTTTCAACTCAAAATGACACTGCTTATTTATTTACGTAAACATGTATGAATGTAACTTGGCTCCTACACAATCCATCTTTATTTGTAAAGCGCCAATACAAATGTTATCTCAATAAACTTGAGATCAAGCAGATGAAAAGACCTTACTAATTGTAATGTTACAAAGAGCCAACATTAATCCACCGTGAGCACAGCACTTCAGCAAAGTTATAGTGGCAAGGAAAACATTTATTGTAACAGACAGAAACCTCAAGCAGAACCAGGCAAGTTGGCTCTAACATATGAGCTTGAGGAGAGTCTGCTTTGAAATGTACACTGTGAGTTACGTTGATGCACATTACAATGTACATTGTAAATAACAAGGCCAAGTGTAAGTGCTTTTTGAAAAGAAAAACTGATCGCAGACTACAAAGAAAGCCTCTCGATCTATCAGGCAAAGCACTCGAATAAAATCAAGCAATATACCATTTTAGTGGAAAACCTTTAACTACCTGCTTTAGAAACTGTACTGGATTTAAATAGATACTTTTGGATAAAGGGAGACCTGAACAACAAATACCAAAAAACACCATATAATATAGTTCAGTCTGTTTTAACTTTATAAAAAGGGCTTCACTGTGTAGTCTATTTTTGAAGTATGGAAAACATTTACAGGGTGAATGGTGAGAGACTTAGAAAAGGACGTTTTTTGGTTTATGTTTCATTGGTTATTAATTGATTCCTTCACTGGTTCCCCCGCACCATCGGGTGGCGTTGCAGCATTTAATGGCAGCATTTCAAAACAAACGAAGAAGAAGGTGATAAACCCTCTGCGCGCGCAAGTCCCACAGTAATCTTGAGATAAAATGGCGACGGGTGCCATTTCCATCGAGTCCAAAAACATATCAGAATTAAGAGTTGTCGATCTCAAATCCGAGCTAAAGCGAAGGAGTTTGGACACCACCGGTGTAAAGAGCGTCCTCATATCGAGGTTGAAACAGGTAACCAAGCAACCAAGCAGAACACGTGCGTGAAGGAGTGAAGGCGAGTTTTGTAACGCAGATTAGCCGATGCTAATGTTAGCTGTGACAATACTGCTGAACATGAGCTGCACAAGATAAACGAGGGCAAAACAATTGAGATGTCCACCGGCTCTCTCTGGTCTTTCGGTGTATAACAGCAGCCAGAGTAACCTGCTAGTCGCTAGTGTCGACAACAGGTGAAATGTTGTTGACTGAGCTTTGTGTTAATGAATACTGGACTGTAACAGACTGCGCATAATGTTGACATCAAGTGTTATTTAGAACTACGTGTGATTTATCTGTGTTAACTGTGTGTAAGACCAAGTTAATGCACCTTTTAATTGAATTCTGCGGGTGTTTCCAGTTGTCGATGCTGATGATACAGAGTGTTTAGTATCATAATGATTTATAGGTTTCTATAGATATTAACCTGGGGACGCTTTATGGTGCTGTAATGTTCTCTTATCGTATGTGCATGCACACGTTCATGAGTAATTTATGTATTTAACACGCATTTACATTGTTAAATTATTATATAATTTACACTGTAAAGCATTAGTGGTGCAGTGCATTGGATAAAGGTTGTGTTGAGTTGTCCATGTATACTGCACCTGCTCCTGTCAAATAAACCAAGAAAATAAAAGTATACAGGACAGTACATTGTGTTTGGAAAATGATTTCGTTACAGATGGTAACAGAAGTAGCTCATTTAACAATTAAGCAAGGTTAACATGACACATTTCTCCGTCACATTTGTTTGTGATTCTGTCCCTGATGTTGCTTTGTATTCATTTAAAAACGAAGCTTGTTGCACTGCCCTCTTGAAGAGATGTAAATCAACAAATATGTTGATGTCTGACTTAAATTAAATGTCGAATCTGTTTTAAGGCCATTGAGGATGAAGACGGTGACCCAGAAAACATTCAAGCTGAGTCTTCACCAGACACAACAACCCGTAAAGGTGGAAAAGCTAAAGGTAATTCTTCCTTGAGTGAAATTATTAAATGGTGGCTTAGAATCCCTTTTTTTTTTTTCATTTCTATTTCTTTTTTTTTCAACTTTTAGGAAAAAGAGTGGATTCAGATGCCGATGTCCCAGGGGAGGAAGATTCGTTTTCCAAGGTGACTGAGGTAGGGCTGGGCGATATATTTATATAGTTTTATATTGGTATATTTTTAAACTAGATATATGGTAAGAAGATATCATTAATATCGATATGACCTACTTCTCATCTCACAGTCTGTCACTCTCTGAGCCAAACTAAAAAAAAAAGAAAAAAAAAGTATAACAAAACACAGTTGTTTATTTTGTTATACAGAAAAGGGCCTTCTTTTATATTTTTTTATTTTATTGTATTTAAGGAACACATTAACTTGTAATTTCATATACAGGTAGTTTATTTTTAAAGTACATGTTGACATTGTGCAGCTGACTGTTAATAAAATACATATCGATATCTATCGAGTATCGCTATTCAGCTAAACTATATCGAGATATGAGGCT